TGATGTTTTCTAAAGAAAATGTCGTCATGCCAGATCCGGAGAGGGTGTTTGGAGTCGCCCACCCGATATTGCCAGTTTGACTGAACTCTCGAAAAACATTCAGAGAACAAGATTTCCTCTCTACTAAATGATGCCCCATTCATCGTAAAACAAGACGACACTATATTACCTCGTGCTTATTGCAAGTTCTTTTTTTTTCAGGGGGGGGGGGGTACATGTACCATGTGTAGGAAACTGAATTTGTCATTGTTTGCTACAATTCCAAGAAGATATTTTACTATTCTAAATTGCAAGCAGCTTGGAGATAATCTGAGATAGACCTTTGAATGAATAGTTTCAACGAAAAAGACGTATAAAGAAATGTTCCTCCTCCCTCATTGTGTATATATCAGGCCAGAGCCCTTTTCAGCGCTTTGGAAACAAAAATCACAAATATGCACTTTCCTAAAATTTAAAGTGAAATACTCCAAGTTCCATAACTGACAGCAAGCAGGGTAAACCACGAAATTTTACCGCACTCTCCATCTTGAAGCCAGCATAAACTGATGAAGACATTGTAGTTGTTGTGATAAAGCACATCTACCACATTCATTCACATAACGACACGTGCGATTATATTATGTACACTGGAATTTCTGTACTACCTTGGTGATGATTGATGACATAACTGACTGTGAAGAGTTTTAGATGTCGCAGTGAACAATGAAGATTAACATTTCTCACTCTGCAAAAGAGATCACACCGTCCTATTATTGTCGGCTAAAAATGATATTAATTAATATGTAAAAAAAGTATAAAAAAACATCTAAAAATAATGCTGAGATTTCGTCTACTGAAGATATAACTTTTTGGATATGGTATTTTGGGCGTTTGCAAGTAGCACAATAGAATTACCCTGAGTTCTAGAGATGACTGAAACCATCATAAGCATGCCGCTTACAGCACGCCAGGGCTACATAGATAAGCAAAGTCGAGGAAAGGCATAATTTGTTCACCGGATCTTAGTTTTATTTCACGAAGGAATTCACAAAACACATTTAACATTTTTGCCATTCCTTAAACTATTTATCGATCTACGGCGACCCCGTGCAAACTCACGGGGCACCACACTCAATGAACAGTTACCACTTATGCAAATGTACGTTGCATCAGAAGTGCTGAATCGCTCGGCTCCTCAAGCACAATAAGGGTAAACCGCTAGTGAAAACAGAGGAAGTTTCAAGTTTTTTCTACAACTAGGAATGATGGGATCAAGAACATTAATATTTAATGAAGAAGATATCAAGGAACGTAAAATCCGACCTTGTTATATTTGGCAGAATGGATAACAAATACGTGAACAACAGATGACATATCGATAATGATCTCGCTAAAACAGTGAATGTAAAACGGGTGTCAAACTGTCGTAACATGAAGATTGAGCAGGCTTTGCAATCTGTACATTAGCTAGCTAGATTAGACACGTAACTGATTATGCTTTCGACCAAAACATCAGTGAGCGGACGAAAGGCTAATGCAGAAAATCTCTTTGATCGCTAAATGTTTAATGGAACTGCCAAATAACGTGCTTAGCTAATTTTTTCAAAGTTGTCCCTCAGCTGACGTAATTGTAAGTCGAAGTACTTGGAAAAGCATTGCTTGTATTTTGTACCCGTGAGAGACATTCAATCATATATGGTGCTGGCTCTTGAACGATATTAGACGTTAAAACTAAGCTGGGAATCTCAACAGAGAGCGGGTTCCTAAAGGGTGTAACCAAACCAGAAGTGATTGTAAACTGGGTCCGTTCTAGGAGTCATCTCCCTAAACCATTTTAGTTGGTTTTCATTATTAAATTGGAAAAGGATAAAACTGAGGTAGTTCACTTAACATGGCAACGTCCTAAAGCTTACTCTATTTGCTTTTTGTGTAAAAGTTGCAGTGTACTCATTAAGTGGATATCTACTGTAATACAGGGGTATGATTGGTCAAAGGGATAGACTAAAATATTTCTGAAACAACCAAATCAGTTGTTAATTTACTTTGTCGACCGTTACGTCTTCTACGCATGGCGTGTATTAAAGGACCACATGTGCAATGAGAGTACAACATTTTTAAAACAGAATTTTTAATTTGCTTGTTTTAATATGTATAGTTAATGTTTATTTCCTCGGTCACTAAATTATGATTGTTCATGAAATAACGACCTTTAAATCTGCTTTTGCATCCTTTTATTCCGATTTTTGACTCAGTCTCGTACCGGAAATAGAGTATGGAGAATTTCACTCGTGGTGGTAATAATTTGAAAATGAATATTGTTACTGGATAATGGGTTTATAGAACGTTTTAAGGCATTTGGGAAAAAGTGCACCTTGGTGATAACAGAAAATTTGCTAAAACGTCTGGGGCGAAACATTGTTATTGCCACATGATACATAAAGCTTAAGCGCGCATAGTACGCCTTTGAATTCAGACGATAGTGTAAAGTTAGAGAACCACTATATGATTACACAACGAACCGATCACAATATTCACAGTAAAAAAATGTGGGAAAGATGCATCTTCATCATATTACAGAACAAAAATAACTTTTTTAACCATATCCATGCATCACCCGATGCCAAGCTGTTATCAGCAAAGCAAAAGTGATAAAAACACCATTATGACCGTTTGGTACCCATTTGTCAAATAGCATGCATTATCCACGAGTTTGGACTAATCAAACCTTGTATTTTTGATTAAACAAAGTGGCAGTTGATACATTACATCCATAATTTACCGTCCCATCCTTAAAAACTACAGTGCACCATTGGGTAGGCCTACATTATAATTCCCCTTCAGAAAACTCATTTAATACTTGCCACCAGTGTTTTGTGTGATAATTGCCTTGCACCAGGAAATATGACTCATTTGTAGCAAAACACTACAAACGAATGCGGGTAGCTGTTTGTGTATCAGACAGGCATTTGATATATTTATATAACTGTTGGTGATTGGTAAAAACACATTCACTTTTGATGTACAGTTGTCGAGTTGAAGCACATATATTTCAACGCATTCCTTGTTTCGGGATTACAGTAACGCTGTAATACTGTCATAAAATCTATGACGTAGAGTTTAACTCGCACTAAGTTCAGAGACGCGGAGACAAGGGGAAATAAGAGGTTCTTCCTGGAAAACAAATACCATAATCAAGACGTCGGCCTTTCAGTTGTTATATTTTGACATACCTGATTGTGAAGGTACAGCAACTGTCAAAAAACTCTGTGTCAAATATACAGTGGTGTGTAAAAGAGAGTTGAGACTTATACGACAAGACCAACTTTTTTGCAATGAAAACGTCTGGATACTCAAAAAATGAAACAGCTGGTATCTTCCGACCCCAACTTTGGTTTCTCGGTTTTGATCCCATGGAGATCACGGATGGCACCGTTGATTGCAACAGCGTTGTTCCGTTGACACCAACGAACGAGATACAACTGCAAGGAGCATATGGAGTTGCTTTATTTCTGTGTGCCGTTGGGCTTATAGAAAACTCAGTATCCGTTACGGCATTGTTTCAAACGAACAAACCCTGGCAGGCCCTTCATGTCATTTTGATTTACCTATCCGTTGCAGACTTGGGATTTATCTTCTTGAGCATCATCCACGCAGCCGCTGTACAGGTGCTCCACGTTTCCAGGAACCTTTCCCAAAACCCCACTTTGGTGTGTTTCAGCTTGGTAACCGCTGATCTGTGTGTGTTCGCTTTCCAATTGCCCCTCCTCGTGACAACGTACATTGTTCTGTATCAGACAATCTCGCTTGCTTTCCCGTTACGAAGCAACACGCTGGTGACTAAAAGAAGAATCCACATTGGTATGGCAGTTACATTCATCGTTGCGTGCTTGGTCCCGTTGAGTTTCCACGTTGTTAGTTTTGGAGAAGGCGGTACCGACTGCTGTTTGCATTACACCAAATTGAATGCGGCCGGTAAATCATGGTACTATGCCATTTTGTGTACTATTTTGGTTATTGCAAATATGGTTCTCTACGTGGTTCTGTTACGCATTGCTAGAAAGATCGTAAGCAAGCATAACTACTACCCATCCAACGGGGACATCCAGCGAAATGCCACACTTGCTAAAAAGAATAAAAAGTTAATCATAACAGTTGTTATCTTATCCGCCAGTGTGGTTATTTGCTGGTTGCCGGCAGTTGTCACATTTTACATTAAGGCTTATATGGCAGCAAAAGACTTCGAAGTTAGTTTCCAGGTGGTTTTCACACAAGTCATCGCGGGGATAATCCCCATGTTGAACGGAATCCTGGATCCCGTCATATACGGAGTCAGGCTACCGGAAGTGAGAGAGGGTTACAAGCGACTTCTGGGAAGGCTATGGAAATCGCGCCAAAAGGAAAAAAGGTGCCCTCGCACAGTGACGACAGGCAACTCAAGTTTGTGACAGTGTTTTTAAGTCTGCATTCATACTAAGCATCTTCTCTCCAAGATAGTAAAACAGTATGAGATTTTTTGCCTAATACTTTACTTTCATTATGTGGCTTCTTTAAAATTTACAGTTTCTATAAAATATCTAAATCAATACAAGGATTTTCCATGTGTGCAAATTACATTAAAATTGATGACTGGATAAGTTTTATTGAAACGATAAAAAACGAGAGCGGCATTTCATCATTAGAAGTTTGTGTATTGATATTCATACTGTAATTATCAAATCAAAGGAATATAGTGCCACAAGAAATCTGACTGAAAAGAAACAGGCATAACTCTTATGATCACCTTTAAATGTAGACGAAATAAATGTAGTTTTTAGCAAAGTCCAATGGATTTACATTTCGATACATATATTCAGCAAATATTTTAGGATATGCACTGCTCAAAAGAAGTTAGGAAACGCCCGCCATTAAAGAAGATTTCACCCATGTGCTGTAATGTCACCTTAATGTACAAAGTTCTCCTTCAAAGTCACAAGGACGATAATTGTTTTACTGAATGGCAAAATGTCTGTCATTACAAATATTTATATTTTCTTTTTAAGCTCATTTGATAACCAGTCCAATCCTTCGTAAAGCCCATCTCCGCTGGTAGCACATGACGCTTGGATATACCAAGAACGATTTCTGATATTGTGGAGTCCAAGCTTTTCTGTTACTTCTGCAGCATTCATTGCATTTGGTAAATCCTGAAGAGAATAAAAATGATAGACATCTACAGAATTATGTTAAGTATGGCATGAAATGTTGCAGGTACATGTATGTTCCAAAACGATTTTCTTATTGAGTGGTGATGGCAATACCGTTTGTCGAGACACATTGTGTAGCTGAGTTTGGTTATACCTGTTTGTTGGCAAATACTAGGAGCACAGCATCCCTCAATTCATCTTCTGCCAGCATTCTATTGAGCTCATCTCGGGCTTCACCTACCCTTTCTCTATCATTGCTATCAACTACAAAGATTAAACCTGGAAAATAAAATAAATTATTTAAAAAATAATATTGTGGGCCTTGTATTTGGATTTTTAAAAATATTCATCTAGACAGGTGTCACAACCAGCAGTAATCAAAACTTACACCATGATACAAAACCCACTGTTCTTACGGCCATGCGGCTGTTATTGTCACAGTTTTACTATGGCAGCCTGTCTCTTCAGACTGAGTTATTAGAGAGTGTTAGTCAAGGTACACTGTACTACGCACAACACTGGGCTCATGTGGTTTTCACTTATGATGTCAGATTTTATCTGTTCCGCAATGGTGGTCAAATAAGAGTTCACAGACATCTCGAAGAGGCGAAGTGCTAAGCATGTGTCGCTCCCAGAGCATCTGTATACGGGGCAGAATCCAAGTTAGTGCCAAAACCTCATTGGTAGACAACGGTGAAAACATAAACCTGATCAAATCCAGGAACATTCTACCGCTCCCCATTTGTTAAAGAGCACCTCGGGAAAAATTTCATTTTAGATAGAACGTGCATTTGAAGATTACTTGCAAAACCACGTGTTTGAGCAGCTACCGCGGCCATCAAGTTCGCCAGGTTTAAAGCCTATAGACAATCTGTAGGTTGCCAGGACTCGTAAAATCAAAAGCATACTGGCCTTACAACAAATCTAAACCACATTGGACGGGCATCGACTGATTCCTGGAATATCATTCCAGATCAAACTCCATGAAACCTGCCAGATGGAATACCTTGCAAATGAGAACCCCAGAAGCCAGATGAGACGGACCGTTCCTGTGACTATATTGATATGAACGTCCTGTTTGGGGCATGTAACTCTTTCACAGAGAGAAAAATATGGAGATTAAAATAACGTTTATTTTTTAAATCAAAGAAAAATGACTTGGGGAAAATATTCCACATTGAATGTCAAGTCTGTATATCAAAATTTAAATTTAATTATCTGAAAGAATATATACATATCTTTACTGAGTTGAAAGACTCTTTGAATGCTACATGTATATCAGGACACAATGTCAGACACTTAGCATCGACGAGGAAGTTATTTTCTAATAGATGATCCACAAAAGGAGTTGAGATAACTTAAATGAGGTATTCTGAATAAAACATAGGGAACAAAAACAACAATATCACAACCAATAATATCACATAATGCTTTGTATTCTTATAAAAAATTGACATTATGTCAAAGTCCAATCACACTGACAGTAACCTGCACAACGGCTTGCTAAATGTCTTCTATAAACTACAAAATAGTGCAGGAATTTTTCTGGTGGTTGAAACCAATCAAATGGGCTGCGTCATAAAGTGTTTGTAGTCACACTTCACAAGGGCGACCCATTTCCATTCCAAAGTGCTCTTGTCTGAACTTGCCCAAGGTGTACAGAATTGACTTACTAATACCCCCTTTACACTGGACGGCGTCCTTTCTGCGACCATGAAATTTGGCATCGCTGTGGTCTTAATAAGGAGGCAGGAGCATTGGTTTTGTATCAGAATGAATGCTCAATGATCGGCCAGTTGTCGGCACGTAAAGTATTATAATTTTTTAACTCTCAAATGGGGCCGTACTGCTGGACGCAGAAAGGACGCCGTCCAGTGTAAAGGGGGCCTAATGCAGCTTACCCTTCATGTTCTGGAAATATTGTCTCCACAGATGTCTGATCTTGTCCTGACCACCAACATCCCACACTGTAAAGCTTATGTTTTTGTATTCTACTGTTTCTATATTGAAACCTGTAAATAAATAAATAAATTAATAAATTAATTAATAACTGTTAAATGCTTCATGAGCAGCATTTACTTCCTGACTGAAAAGCTCTGATTTTGGCACAAAAAGTCAGCAAAGTTTTATAAAAATTTAATAGTATCTGATTCTTTTATTTATCAGGACTTGATTAAAAATTGACTCCGGGTCTGTTGGATGGCTACGTCATATTATACTACACCAAAAGGCAATGTGCAATGAACACAAATGAAATACTGGTACCTCACAAAGTCTAACTGTCAAAAAGGACTAGTAAAAAGTTTCAATCTGCTATTGGTATCAATTTTTCTTATTTAATTATGCTTTATAGATGTATTTATTCATTTTGAATTGTAATGCTGGTGCAAGAATTCTAAATTAAAAGGCAATCTAACCTAAAAGATTGTGATTGTAAATAGAATGTAATTTCCCTTTTGCAAATTATTTATTTACGAAATTAAACTCATACTCCCCACATAAAACAATAATGTAATTCACCTGCTGTTGGAGTGGTTGTGACAATCTCCCGAAGCTGCAGTTTGTGCAATGTAGTGGTCTTTCCTGCAGCGCCAAGCCCAACCATCAAGATTTTCACTTCCTCGTTTCCAAATAAATCCTTGAAAAGGTTATCTAATACAGACGACATTGTGGCCAGTTATCACTTTGCTTTCTGTTTCCAGTATTTGGGTCTGTAAAATAAAACGTCCACTTACAACAGTGCTTTAATGCAACAGTTCTTATTTTTTCCATTAAAAATATTAATTAAATAATATAAAATACTGATATGCTTCTTAAATGGGCTAGAAATAAGCCTTGCAATGTTGTCTTATCTGTCTTGTATTGCTCACTGCGGTGACTTTACTACATACGCTGCTTAGACAGCATACACAACCAGTTGATCCGCAGCTTAACAGAACCGCGGATCAGATATGGCCGATCCACTTGAAACCTTGTCGCATAATCCCCTGAATAGTTTTCCCCCCGCGGGCAACTGCAGAGGGGAATTCGACCATACGTTAAAATGGAAAACTTTCAGGTACAGAAGTGTAATTCTTGCTTTGAAAAATTCGATCAGCACTGGTTTTCTTTTTTTTTTTTTTTGGTTTTCTACAAGTTTAACATTGTTCTATACGCATATATGTTGAAAAATTGAATGCAACTTCGAATTTATTCAATTTTTTGTAACTTCTCCATGTGAAATGCACCTCTGTTTTGGCTTTGGGTGTTTAAAGTAATTTTTTAGCCGATTTATTGTGTTTTATAAGTCAAATTCAAACAGGACGAAATAAAAAAAAGCCCATCCAGTCGACTAATCGATGTCCTAGCTTGCTGGCAAACACCCTGCTTAATAGTGAATTGAAATTAAAGCGTTTGTACTACTAAATATTTATTGGGGATGCTAGGCTGAAGATTATCCTGGCCGATTGCACTAAAATTTACCATACAGAAATTATGTGGTGCAGGATAGAAAGATAGCGTGTCGGAGAACATTATAACAACAAAAAGATAAAATCCGCACAAAAAAGGACAGTGGGGCGCTTTTTGGGGTCAGATTTTCTTGATTCTTTGGAAAATTCCACAAATACGCCGCGCAAGTGATCCATTAGCAAGTCACTTGCATTTGCGGTCAAGTGCAACCAAGGACGCAAGTATTCTATTCGCGTCCTTGGTACGACTAAAATTCTTGTTGTCAGACCGCAGAAATTACTTTATTGCGCTAAGTAACGCAAGCAGGTGTGTTAAACCCTGCAGTTAAGCAATTTTATAGAGAAATAATGGGAAAAGGTTAGTTTTTAACAAAAAAAAACTTCTGGCCATGTCGGACAACTAAGTTCACACATTCTGAAAAATCTACTGGTCCTAACGAAATTTTAATGGCCATTTGCGTCGGACCAATGGCTAACGTCACTGACTGGTATTCTACTTAACTCCAGGCGGAGGGGTTTTTATTCAGTTAAGCTGATTGCAGTCAGCGAGAGAAAGAGAGAGCTAGGTCGATCCATGTAGAGCGATGGTGTCTATGGGAATGGCGCCTAAATTGCGTTCTGTAGGAAGAATTTTATCTTGTTCCCTTTCAGATCAAAAGCCTAATTTTCACCGAGAACACACGAACCCGGTTTCGAGTGTCATAGTTTTCACGCAGGAAAAGCGTTACATCTGTTTCAATAAACAAATACGGTAGGTGAAAGCAATGTTCTCTTAAACAGCAAACTATAATAATAACTAACTGCAAATACATAACTTACCTGAAGTTTTGTGCTGGTGCTTCTTATTAAAAATACTTCCAGCGTAACGTGTCGCACCTTCTCCGGTCTCCATGCATAAGAGGGAGAGACTAGTAGCCTGGTCGCATACAAAGAAAATGTGCCAGCCGATAACCTTTAAAAAACGGGTCATCAAGGGCGTCAGGCCACCCTTGACGTTCACGGGTCAAGTAACGGACCCATCAGCCTCTGCTAAAAAACAAAATGCTATCGATCTACTTATAAATGTGGAAAAATAAAATTAGGTATGTATTTTGACTGTGCTATACGAAAATATAATATAGAAAAATAGGGTCATGCGGTGTGAATATGCCACTTAAGTGTCAGAATAATAAAGTTTACTTGCCCCTATATGGCATGATCGTATTTGTCTTAGGCAGTAGATGGTGTGTTTTTAATGCATATGGTCTTCGGTCATTTTGTGGAGATATGTATTCCATAGCTCACCCCTTCTGCCGGCAAGTGTAAATCTGCTTGAATGGTTAGTTCATCATATTGAATAACTTGGCATATGATTTTTGCGTTTTTCTGGGCCATCACAATCTTTGTTCAGCTGGCACATCAGAAACAGCGTGCATTCAAGAAACCAAAGATTTTTGTGCTCTGCTAACCATAAATACAAGAAGTATACTGTGATGCGGTCGTAAGCTCATCACCAAACATGAATCCAACCTAAACCATATTTCATGAATCCACTGGGGATGGGATGAGTCAAGGCATAAAGTTAATCGGATGACATGTTATTTTGTGTGTAATTCTAGTCTTTATATGTGTCAGGACTACGCCTTTTAAAACATAAACATCAGTGTCTTTTTAGTCTAAGAAAAAAAATGGTTTGACCCGGGACTAATTGCAAAAAAATTGAAGTATGTTTTTTTTAGTCCTTGGGTAGCCCATATGACCATATTAAAAATCTAGGAAAATCCAAGTAGTGGGGTCGGGAACCGTTCTTTCAGAGTGGGAGTTCACACCCCTTGTAGTGGTTTTGTAAGACCCGGGTGCCAAACTTGACAGGCGTTTTCCAGTGCAATGCTTAACACTGACGGGTAGAAGCATACGAGTTTAGTAACAGAAATCAAAACAGAAATGCTATTTTCAGTAGTTCTAAATAGCGATCTTTTTGACTGTATTTACATTATCTGAAATGTGCCCCACATTTATATATATATATATATAAATCCCAACTGATGACTGAATAAGTTTTATTGAAGCAATAAAAACAATGAGACATCTTATTAATTGAAATATATGTAAAGATATATGTAGGGATATACATAACATTGTCAATATACATTGGTAACTAATTTTAGAATAACCCATCTTACAGTACAAACTATATCCAAATATTAGATATAATACATTTCTCAGAATATTACTAAATTTTATGGACCCCTGAATGATTTGCCATTATTCAAAATCCTGGAAATAAATAGTAATTTCAGCAATACGACTAGACCGTAACAAAACTCACAAAACACTACACACAGAGATTAAGCCTGCTGTTTTTTTTTTCAAGGATCACTTGTGCAGAACATTCACTTCAATAATTTAGACAGCATTCAGACTTGCATCTCGTACTAGCTTGGTCGGTCCAACCAAGGGCTTAAGTGCAATCAGTGGAATCAGCTTAATTGTCTGGCACACCGTCCCTCCAATATAGGGGGTAGTTTAAACCATGTGCCGATTTAGCTCATTGCACTTCAGTGAGGATCCCCTGCAGAGCTGGACCGACCCAGCTTGTACGACGTGTGAATCTGAATACGCCCTTACACAACGAAGTACACTAAATGGCCATTGTAATGAGGTATTTCTAGGGCTGAGTGGGTTGGGGACGGGGGCATGACTCTCCCTTTAGTTTCCCCAAATTTCCAAAAATTCTCTTTTTTTCTTTCACATTCAGACATGCCTGATGCAGCAAATACTTTACCCCATTAAGTTCATAACCTGGATTGACCAAGATGGGAACAAAAAGAGAATCAATAAAATATTTCCACAAGGCCAAGTGTATAGTTCTCAGGACATTTTATACATTTTGTTATTGTTGTTCATTAACTCATGGTTTACATTTAAAGTCTAAGTAATACTATTATTCATAAGATATTAATCGAATAATTAAATCAAGGAATGCAGTGGCACAAAATATCTAATTCAGTAGAAACTGACATCATTTTAAAAATCAGTTTTTGTTTGCTCTGCATTTGTTATTGTTTATAATGCTGTTATCGAATAAGATCCAATAACTAATCAGGGGACTCTTTCTTTTTTTCTTTTTAAGTGTACACTTCATCAACAGACTACAAAAATTATACCTAATTCTGTTAAGTTTTCATCTAAAAATCCTAGTTTAAGTTAAATAGGCTTCACAGAGAGACATGAAAGGTAATCCTGAAGAGAAAGTAACGGTTTGCATTTACTGACAGATGAGACGTAAAATCTTTTTGATCGAGTTCTTCTCTCAAGCCCAAATGATGATGGTAATCGTTTATAGGTTTAATTTTGGCAGTGAAATGTCTTTCACTTCAAACACTGATATTTCCTAGCTCCTAAGGACTGTGTCACTTTTGGTTCTTAAGTTCATTGGATAGCCAGTCCAGTCCCTCGTAAAGCCCGTCTCCGCTGGTAGCACACGTGGCCTGTATGTACCACTTACGATTTCTCATCGAATGGAGTCCAAGCTTGTCTGTTATTTCTGCTGCATTCATTGCATTGGGTAAATCCTGAAGAGAAAATAATGATTTGTATTTACTGACTCATACCAAGTATAACATGAAATGGTATTTATATGTACCAAGTATCATATGATTTCTCATTGAGTACAGCCAGAGTCTGTCTGATATTACCTCTGCTAAAGAGGTTAATACTAGTATGTTTTCACTATTGGTCTTTGTCTGGCTTTTAAACTCTATGCTTGTCAATGGCCTAACTTTAAAAAAGTTAAGAATGGAATTTGATGAAATTTTCAGGATACAGACCTGCTTTAAAGTGATAAAAATTTGGTGGTTATCCTTGATTTGGATAACCACCGGGACACAAATACTTTTTACTAAAGGACTTTTCATCATTGCGACAATAGGGGCAATGACCTTGACCAGTTGTCGTCTCATCTACCACAATTATTCAATTTTCTGGGGTTTGCGCTCTCTTAGGGGCTGTTTAGGAGGAGTTAAGTTGCACTTGCTCCTGCACACTAACTCCACAGGGACTCTCGCTGAATGCAATCAGATTGACCTACTAACAAGCCTCCTCTTGGCACAGAGATTTTACAAGAATGTTGGAAATGAGGTGTTGTAAGCTAGGTTATCCTTACTAATTCTCAATGGCCTAAGAAATCTTTTCGTTTTTGTAGCACTGATCGGAAACTGAGCAAAGTATTGTATAATTATAGTTGGGCATAACCTGTATTTTAAAGAAGGCAGCAAAACTGTCAGATGGACAGACATATAAATGCCAAAAGTAACAGATGCATTGATATTAAAATTTTCCATAGATTATGAACAACCAATGTAACAATGAAACTGAACAAAACATAAATAGCATTATTGCTACTAGGATAGGGATTAACACCCATTGGAATTCAAAATCACACCAGAAAAATGCCAAAATATAAATCAAAAACACTGAATTACTTTAAGAAAAATAATCCAACCAGGCTGGTTTTCAACTTGAGCTGTATTTTACTTCAATGAATCAAACCTTTCTGTTTGAGAATAAGCAGAGAATGACAATCAGCATAACTTTCCTTTCATTGTGTTTATAAGTAAAAAATCCTGGAGCTTATGACATCACCGACAGTGATAACACAACAGGTGCTGCCTGTTTATCTAAACACAATGTGAAGCAGACTTTTCCTTACCTGTTTGTTGGCAAATACTAGCAGCACAGCATCCCTCAGCTCATCTTCTGCCAGCATTCTATTAAGCTCTTCTCGAGCTTCACCTACTCTTTCTCGATCATTGCTGTCTACGACAAAGATTAAACCTGGAAAATGAAATTTAAAAATAAATTGATTATTATGGACCTTGTATTTATATAAAAATATCAAACCAAATTTATAACAGACTTAAATTTGTAATCATACTACACTAGAGTGATCTATTTCCATTCTAAACTGTTCCTGTCTGAACTCGCCTTTGCCCTAAGAATACAGAACTGACTTGCAAATACAACTCGCCTTGTGTGTTCTGGAAATAATGTCTCCACAGTGGTCTGATCTTGTCCTGACCACCAACATCCCACACTGTAAAGCTTATGTTTTTGTATTCTACTGTTTCCACATTAAAACCTGTAAGATAAACATAAAATTGCAGACAAATGTAATATTTGTTTCTTAGCTAATATTTTTTTTTATCTGGATAAAAAATTTTATACAAACCTAAAAGATAAATTAAAATATTATGAGTATCTTTTTTATCAGATAAAAAAAAATTACCCTAATTTCAAATTGATGTCAGGACTGCTGTGTGGCTAACTAATATTATTTACATCTTGAAATCAGACATGAATCGGTTGAAAACAAATGAGATACCTAACAACACCAAGCTGACTTTAAAGATAAAATAAAAAGTAGCAATTTGCTATTGTACATCAATTTCCCAAACTTCAGCAAGCTACTAGTACAGATATATAGATAAACATATCTTGATTATTGCAAAACTAGAGCCAAACATTAAGTTGTGTAAGGTTGATATGTACAACACTTTTGACTTCCTAAGCAATCTAACCTAAAAGGGCGGGATTATAAATATTATGTCATTCCCTTTCGCAAAAAGTATTTCAAGAAGTTGTGAAATTAACCAGGCTTACTCAATCTAACTACGTGAAAGAATTAAGTAACTAACCTATTGTTGGAATGGTTGTTACAATTTCTCCGAGCTTCAGTTTGTACAATATAGTTGTCTTTCCTGCAGCATCAAGCCCAACCATCAAGATTCTCATCTCCTTTTTTCCAAATAAACCCTTAAAAAGGACACCAAATATATTCCCCATTGTGGCTGATTATCTCTCTGCTTTTTGTTTCTGGTATTTGGGCCTGTAAAATAAAATGTCCATAATTTAAAAGCTAAAGGAGAAAGAAATAATTGCAAATGGTCTCATTTTTTATTAAAAGAAATATTGCTCCTCAAAATTCCAACTTAATATAGTTTAAGAGCAGCATCCTACACTTGAACCTGCATTTTAGGGTACAAAATTTTGGTTATATGATTTTGCCTTGCACTGGGACACATATCAATAGGATCTATTCTAAATGATAATTTTAAACTTTGTGAAAGCACTAAAAAGGATATCACAAAATTCTCTTTAATAATGTAAATAACTCCCTTCTGGTTTTATAAACTTTCACATGTAATAACTACATATAACAATGTACTGTTTAGTTCAAACAAACAATTTCATCACAATCCCGGATATCAATCTTGAGCTAGTTCACCTTCTTCTCAAAAAGGAGGGTAATTTTTGTAGCAGTCAGTTGGTTAGATAGAAAGATACACTTGAAACAGATTCATATTAAATTTCTTGTTAATCTTGAAATAAATTATGTAATAAGATCAAAAAACATTGATAGGCATGTTAAGAGCTTAACAGTAATTTTTTCAGCAAACAGCTTTTCCTGTTATTGATCCAACAATCAGATGGACAAATTTATCAATTTTATGCATTGTTGGAGGTTTTTGATGAAATATTAACTATAAACAAAAACTCAAAAACATGGGTTAAGTCCCCTTTCCCTGTAAAAGAGCACTGAGAACTTAAGGTTCAATAGCAGTTTAACTACGCATTGTAACTTGTGACTGCTTTTGGATGATACGCAATCTACACAGATAAATTTACAAAAAGGTTCCAATAAAAAAATAAATAAAAATAAAATTGAAATAATAAGAATAAAACCTTTTCTGGGACAAGACAGCATTAAGTATCAGCATGGTATTTTTCAGTTATCAATTGAGAAGTGCTGAAATTTCGTTTTGGCAAATCTGTACAGTATCTAAATGTGTGGTCAATAACTTGTGAAGACATCAGAACACTGACAAAACAACAGATGTTAATCACTTCTAAAGAGTAATGTACGTACTACTACAAAAACTTGACAAACATACAAAGACATAAAACTTAAACACTAAACAAGGGTAATATAATGTTTTACTATTATCTTCTAAATAAAGAGTATAAGGCCTTTTCTGAGTTCAGAGAAATTGAAAATGAAATAGACACGTAGCCGCTGTTCTCGATCAACAGCCGTCTCAAATTCAAAACTGCCGAGACGAGAACAATAACTGAAACTGTTAAAAATAAGATACACTGTACACAAGGCAGCTGCTAATTTTTGTGTACCTTTATCGATCGGGTTTTAGTCTTTCCGTAATCCCCACTAATTGTCAAGAACAACTTTGCTGTTAACCACGCATCAGAACTCACAGGGCGCCGCCATTTTTTCTATCACGTGATAGGGATACGCAATTTGCGCAATGTTTTGACCCCAATTGCGGGACATTGACGTGGCATGTAAAACGAAGGAACTTCCACGTCCGCCATTTTACGTTGTAACTGATTGACCGGTGGGTATATTTTGGTATGTAAACAGATCATTTCGTCAGAATTTAACTAGCCATCCGACTTAAGCCATTACAATTATTGAAGGCTTGCATGTCATTTCGAATTTTGCACTAGACTTAAAGAATATTCATTGAAATTGTTTGTCAGAAGACAAAGCCGGTTACTTCCGTCATTCATACTGGATCTAGAGGGCGTAGACTAATGTAAGTTTAGGGGTGTATCTTAGTTGCTGCTGGCCATTTTTGAAGGATAGAAACACTCCTAGGTACAGCCAGATCTAGGTGGGTCCTAATTTAAACCAGTATGCAGTAGTGATCCGTTGAAACAATTCAGAAGTGACATTTTAATAGTATCTGAATGACACAGAAACCAGTGAATTCACAGGTTAATGAGTCATGTCTATTCGTCAGCAGTCTGTGGTGTTAAGTTTCCCCGACATTATTAAGTTTATTGTTTTACATCACTATGCTACCTTGGGTCCCCCCTCTCCCTTCCTTCCCCAGGGTATGCTTGCCAATAAATATGATAACAATGATAATAGTAACCTCTTAAAGGGTCATCCATTTTTATCATCATTTTCACTATTCAGAACATTGTGGTCTTCTGACCATCTTTCCCAGTCGTTTGAATTAGTTCTTAGAGCAAATATGGAATGCTTTGAATATTGCTCCTATCCCTATCATATATGGCATAGGCCCACTTGGCTCATTGAAATTGGCCGATAGATAGATGAGCTCATCCCAAAATTCTTATAATATTTTGTGCCATAGGTCTAAAAGCAAGATAGCATAAGGAAAAAAGGAAATAATAATCCACCATTTGGTATGTCTTTGTCAGCCTGTTCATGTTTATGCATGGGAAGAATTAAAGTTGTTATGATTGACCTTTTTTACAGACCCATCAAATACCATAGTCGAGAGACACAGTTAACCAGCCACTATGGGGAATCTATTCACTAACCTTTTCAAAGGTTTATTTGGTAAAAAAGAAATGAGAATCTTGATGGTTGGGCTTGATGCTGCAGGAAAGACAACTATATTGTACAAACTGAAGCTCGGAGAAATCGTTACAACCATTCCAACAATAGGTAAGCTGTAAAGGACAATCAGTACTAAATCACTGTTTGTGTTTGAAGTGTTAGCATAATTTTAGAGAACGGCATCTTAAATGCTTTGAGTTAACTATGGTACTGTGTTCAGACTAACAAAGCCATGTGTTTGGTATATAAAAGTCATACCAACTGATAAACGGTGTCTAACAGCCCATTTCCATAGATTTTTAGATCGATCTATCCCTGTGGGGAGTCTCACTAGATTACTGTCAGCTTGGCCGGATTAAGCGTCTGTCCCGCCTACTAAAAGCTGTAAGGGGGTAATTAACTATGGTGTCCGCTCGGCTGACTGCAATTTAGCGTGAACCCCCAGGGAGTTAGGTCGATCTAAATCTTAATCTTTATATCGATCTAAATCTCTGGGAAAGCACCCTTACACAAGTGTTTTATAAATATATGGTTGTACTGTAGTATTCCAATACTGTATAACAATACACCTTTGGAATACTTTTGTCATAGCCAGGGCTTGACACTAACTTTTTTTGATACTGGCCCGAAATAGCGGTAAATATTGCAAGGATGATTTGACACATGACATTTTACTTGCTCTTTGGGCCAGTGACCCCGGCGATTCAATGGCCCCAGGTTGGTTTTCAGTGGCCCAGGGCCAGTGGGCCACCCTTAATGTCAAGCCCTGATAGCAGTGGTATAACAGTGACAAATGTCAGATGTATTTACTGATGTTTTGGTGACAGTAGTCACTTTCTTGCAAAAAAAAAAGGCAGCTATGCTTTGCTGGTCTCCTTTGTCTCTTTAGTTTAAGTGGTTACCATCACTAACACACTGTAAATACTCTTCCTTGGAACCATGAGCATACTTATTGATTGTTATATGTACTGTGTAATATTGCATGGATATTGTACTGTGCACATTGTAATGTGTTAACCATAAATCTACAGTATAGCAGTGGCACAGCTACTACACTGCCATAATTATTGTAAAGTACACTGTATAACAATGTCATGTCAACTGTATTATAGTGTATAACTTCACACATAGGAAAACAATAAAGATACTGTATTTCCTGAGGACCTACCTGCCAGAAATCTAAAGATCCTAATTCTGTACGTGTCCAAACTAAGTGTTCAATTTCCATTAGTCTGTACTAGCATGTGATTTATTGTTATGCTGTTTTTTCTTTCAGTTTACTAGTAATGGTAAGGAGAATGATCAGCTATTTATTCATTTCTCTTTACAGGTTTCAATGTAGAAACAGTAGAATACAAAAACATAAGCTTTACAGTGTGGGATGTTGGTGGTCAGGACAAGATCAGACCACTGTGGAGACATTATTTCCAGAACACACAAGGTGAGTTGTATTAGCTAGTCAGTTGTGTATTCTTAGGGCAAGGGCAAGTTCAAACAGATACATGTTGGAATGGAAATAACTCGCCATAGTGCTCTCTGCCTCGTAAAATGACCAACATCGATTTACACAGTGGCAAAAGGAGATTGAAATTTCGTTTGTAGGGTTATATAGCAAACGAGCTTTTTGTAATCCTTGTTGCCTCATGTTATGCTTGCTTCTGAGCAACACATTATTGAATCAGATGATATGTGAGGAAATCTGTTTGAAAAGTATTTCCTTTAAATTCAACTGTGTATTTTGATGTATTTAGGCTGAAATAAAATGGTGCTGACAACCCTTCTCTTTCCAAGAATTTGGGTTATTTTGACGCGTACCTTCTTAACATCCCTTGTTCTCAACCCCTCATTTGAGATCATAAGCTGATCACAAGGCTGATTAATTACTGGGACACTTTGCATTGACCATACTGGTGTTGAATATATTTAATTTTGGGACATTTAAAAAATTCAGTTTGGTAGAAATGTTCTATGGTGAAAAAACTACGGTACAACAACTCACTTTTACATTTGCTTTGTATTTTAACATTATCTTATGATGAAATCATTCAGTAGTTATATCATGATCATATGATAATGAGGTGCGTTTCCTTTTCAGGCCTAATCTTTGTAGTAGATAGCAATGACAGAGAGAGAGTAGGAGAGGCTCGGGAAGAGCTAATGAGAATGTTGGCAGAAGATGAACTGAGGGATGCTGTACTATTAATATTTGCCAACAAACAGGTAAGGGTCTGAAAAGTCCAACGTTTAATTATTAATAAATTTTAATATAATTATTTACTGTGGTCAATGTCTTGTGGTTTCAACTTTGCCTTTTGGATAGCACCGTAGACTTGCATTTAATGACTGAGTGGTTTTGGTTGATATGGCTGTTTTGTGCAATACATATATTTATGTGTTGTCCTTAATTGTACCACCAGCGTAGGCGCTGGCGGTACACATGGTTTTAGTCCCGACCCGTATGTTCCGCCGGCTCCTGCGGCTCCTGCGGCTCCGCCGCCAAGTCACCGTTACCGCTTCTTCTCCTAGACGGTAATGGCCTCCATACCCATCTCTTGGATTTAGGTCACCTATAATCTCAACTCGTTCCACGTAAAATTTGGGCTTTGTCGGTATTGGGGTCTAGGTGTGGCACTCATTGCAATGCACCCTTGTCCAAAAATGGCAAAATTAAATGCTAATTATCTCCCCTACGGAAGGAATTATGGGAAAAATTTCTACAGACAGCTTTCCAAAAGTCATATGTGTAGATTTCAAATATGCCCTTGGATTTGACCTTTGACCTTTATTTCAAGGTCAAACGGGCCAAAATTTTCAAAAAAACAAAATTTTTGCCGAAAAAAAAATTATTTGCGGTCTTATTCAGACACCACACAGACTTAACTAATAATATTAATGGAAAGTGTTACCCTTCAGGTCATCTTTCATCTCCGTGAATTTGGGGTCAATCGGTGCATTTTCACNAGGGAATGACATAATATTTATAATCCCGCCCTTTTAGGTTAGATTGCTTAGGAAGTCAAAAGTGTTGTACATATCAACCTTACACAACTTAATGTTTGGCTCTAGTTTTGCAATAATCAAGATATGTTTATCTATATATCTGTACTAGTAGCTTGCTGAAGTTTGGGAAATTGATGTACAATAGCAAATTGCTACTTTTTATTTTATCTTTAAAGTCAGCTTGGTGTTGTTAGGTATCTCATTTGTTTTCAACCGATTCATGTCTGATTTCAAGATGTAAATAATATTAGTTAGCCACACAGCAGTCCTGACATCAATTTGAAATTAGGGTAATTTTTTTTTATCTGATAAAAAAGAAACTCATAATATTTTAATTTATCTTTTAGGTTTGTATAAAATTTTTTATCCAGATAAAAAAAAAATATTAGCTAAGAAACAAATATTACATTTGTCTGCAATTTTATGTTTATCTTACAGGTTTTAATGTGGAAACAGTAGAATACAAAAACATAAGCTTTACAGTGTGGGATGTTGGTGGTCAGGACAAGATCAGACCACTGTGGAGACATTATTTCCAGAACACACAAGGCGAGTTGTATTTGCAAGTCAGTTCTGTATTCTTAGGGCAAAGGCGAGTTCAGACAGGAACAGTTTAGAATGGAAATAGATCACTCTAGTGTAGTATGATTACAAATTTAAGTCTGTTATAAATTTGGTTTGATATTTTTATATAAATACAAGGTCCATAATAATCAATTTATTTTTAAATTTCATTTTCCAGGTTTAATCTTTGTCGTAGACAGCAATGATCGAGAAAGAGTAGGTGAAGCTCGAGAAGAGCTTAATAGAATGCTGGCAGAAGATGAGCTGAGGGATGCTGTGCTGCTAGTATTTGCCAACAAACAGGTAAGGAAAAGTCTGCTTCACATTGTGTTTAGATAAACAGGCAGCACCTGTTGTGTTATCACTGTCGGTGATGTCATAATCTCCAGGATTTTTTACTTATAAACACAATGAAAGGAAAGTTATGCTGATTGTCATTCTCTGCTTATTCTCAAACAGAAAGGTTTGATTCATTGAAGTAAAATACAGCTCAAGTTGAAAACCAGCCTGGTTGGATTATTTTTCTTAAAGTAATTCAGTGTTTTTGATTTATATTTTGGCATTTTTCTGGTGTGATTTTGAATTCCAATGGGTGTAAATCCCTGTCCTGTGGCAGTAATGCTATTTATGTTTTGTTCAGTTTCATTGTTACATTGGTTGTTCATAATATATGGAAAATTTTAATATCATTGCTTCTGTACCTTTTGGCATTTATATGTCTGTCCATCTGACAATTTTGCTGCCTTCTTTAAAATACAGGTTATGCCCAACTATATGTACAATACTTTGCTCAGTTTCCGATCAGTGCTACAAAAACGAAAAAATTTCTTAGAAGACCATTGAGAATTAGGTTAACCTAGCTGAGACACCTCATTTCCAACATTCTTTTAAAATCTCTGTATGCTACTCTGTGCCAAGAGGAGGCTTGTTAGTCGTTCAATCTGATTGCATTCAGCAAGAGTCCCTGTGGAGTTAAAGTGCAGTAGCAAGTGCGACTTGACTCCTCCTAAACAGCCCCTAAGAGAGCACAAACCCCAGAAAACTGAACAATTGTGGTAGATGAGACGACATTTAATGCACAACTGGTCAAGGTCATTGAAAAGTCCTTTAGTAAAAAGTATTTGGATCCCAGTGGTGATCCAAATCAAAGATAACCACCAAATTTTAATCACTTTAAAGCAGGCCCGTATCTTGAAAAATTCATCAAATTCCATTCTTAACTTTTTTAAAGTTAGGCCATTGACAAGCAGTTAAAAATCCAGACATAAAGACCAAAAGAGAAAACATATTAACCTCTTTAGCAGAAGTATCAGACAGGCGCTGGCTCCACTCAATGAGAAATCATATGATACTTGGTACATATAAATACCATTTCATGTTACACTTGGTTTTAGTCAGTAAATACAAATCATTATTTTCTCTTCAGGATTTACCCAATGCAATGAATGCAGCAGAAATAACAGACAAGCTTGGACTCCATTCCATGAGAAATCGTAAGTGGTACATACAGGCCACATGTGCTACCAGCGGAGACGGGCTTTACGAGGGACTGGACTGGCTATCCACTGAACTTAAAAACCAAAAGTGACACAGTCCTTAGGAGCTAGGAAATATCAGTGTTTGAAGTGAAAGACATTTCACTGCCAAAATTAAACCTATGAACGATTACCATCATCATTTGGGCTTGAGAGAAGAACTCGATCGAAAAGATTTTACGTCTCATCTGTCAGTAAATGCAAACCGTTACTTTCTCTTCAGGATTGCCCTTTCATGTCTCTCCGTGAAACCTATTTAACTTAAACTAGGATTTTTAGATGAAAACTTAACAAAATTAGGTATAATTTTTGTAGTCTGTTGAAGTGTACACTTAAAAAGAAAAAAAGAAAGAGTCCCCTGACTAGTTATTGGATCTTATTCGATAACAGCGTTATAAACAATAACAAATGCAGAGCAAACAAAAACTGATTTTTAAAATGATGTCAGTTTCTACTGAATTAGATATTTTGTGCCACTGCATTCCTTGATTTAATTATTCGATTAATATCTTATGAATAATAGTATTACTTAGACTTTAAATGTAAACCATGAGTTAATGAACAACAATAACAAAATGTATAAAATGTCCTTAAAACCATACACCTGGCCTTGTGGAAATATTTTATTGATTCTCTTTTTGTTCCCATCTTGGTCAATTCAGGTTATGAACTTAATGGGGTAAAGTATTTGCTGCATCAGGCATGTCTGAATGTGAAATTATAAAAGAGAATATTTGGAATTTTGGGGAAACTAAGGGGAGAGACATGCCCCTGTCCCCAACCCACTCAGCCCTAGGAATACCTCATTACAATGGCCATTTAGTGTACTTCGTTGTGTAAGGGCATATTCAGATTGAAACGTCGTACAAGTTGGGTCGGTCCAGCTCTGCAGGGGATCCTCACTGAAGTGCAGTCAGCTAAATTGGCACATGGTTTAAACTACCCCCTATCTTGTAGGGACGGTGTGCCAGACAATTAAGCTGATTCCACTGATTGCACTTAAGCCCTTGGTTGGACCGACCAAGCTAGTACGAGATGCAAGTCTGAATGCTGTCTAAATTATTGAAGTGAATGTTCTGCACAAGTGATCCTTGAAAAAAAAAACAGCAGGCTTAATCTCTGTGTGTAGTGTTTTGTGAGTTTTGTTACGGTCTAGTCGTATTGCTGAAATTACTATTTATTTCCAGGATTTTGAATAATGGCAAATCATTCAGGGGTCCATAAAATTTAGTAATATTCTGAGAAATGTATTATATCTAATATTTGGATATAGTTTGTACTGTAAGATGGGTTATTCTAAAATTAGTTACCAATGTATATTGACAATGTGATGTATATCCCTACATATATCTTTACACATATTTCAATTAATAAGATGTCTCACTGGTTTTATTGCTTCAATAAAACTTATTCAGTCATCAGTTTGAATTTTTGTATATATATAAATGTGGGGCATATTTCACATAAATGCAAATACAGTCAAAGACATCACTATTAAGAACTACTGAAAAGAGCATTTCCGTTTTGATTTCTGTTACTAAACTCGTATGCTTCTACCCGTCAGTGTTAAGCATTGCACTGGAAAACGCCTGTCAAGTTTGGCACCCGGGACTAACAAAACCACTACAAGGGGTGTGAACTCCGACGCCGAAAGAACGCGGTGAGAGTTCCCGAACCCAAGAAGACACTGAGGTTTAGCTGTTGGGGCCGCAGTCCTGACATTTTTTTTTTCACATAAAAAGACTAGAATTACACACAAAGTAATTTGCGTCCGATTAACTTAATATTTAAAGGGATAATAACTCTTAGTATGAGATCTATATTTCACAATAAAAACATCGTAAACAACTCATAGAAATTTTAATATATTAAAATATTTTATGTTTTACCACAAAAACGGCAGTTATAACTTTTATTCTGATATCTGAGCTTGTCATCAGACCACGTGACCTCCATAGATGGCTGTACTCTGTAATAATCTCTTAAGAGATTATTACAAAAAACAAGCTTTTTAGAAAAAAACCAGACACTAACTTTGAATGTAGAAATGGATATAACCACTGGTCAGTATGGGAAAATTGTTTTTTACTCCAGGAAAATTCATTTTTTGGCCAAAACGAAGAGTTATTATCCCTTTAATGCCTTGACTCTTGCCATCCCCAGTAGGTTCATGAAATATGGTTTAAGTTGGGTTCATGTTAGGTGCTGAGCTTACGACCACATCACAGTATACTTCTTGTATTTATAGTTAGCAGAGCACAAAATTCTTCGGTTTCTGGAATGCACGCTGTTTCTGATATGTACGATGTGCCAGCTGAACAAAGCTTGTGATGGCCCAGAAAAAACGCATAAAATCATATGCCAAGATATTCAATATGACGAAGAACTAACCATTTCAAGCAGTGTAACACTTGCCGGTACGGTGTAACGAAACGGAGAGTCCGTGTAACAGAAAGTCCGCCCTCCATATAGCTATAATGGTTAGGGTTATAAGCCTGGGCCAAGTAGGTCAAAATCTAGGACGAGGCTTACCTGTACAAATGAATGGGAAGCGGACTCTCTGTAATGGGGAGACTCTCTGTCACCCAGCAGAAGAGGTGATCATGAGCTATCGAATACATAGGCCTCTCCACAACACGACCGAAGACCATAAAATTCACCATCTACTGCCTAAGACAAATACGATCATGCCATATACTATACATATAGGGGCAAGTAAACGTTATTATTCTGACACTTAAGTGGCATATTTACACCGCATGACCATATTTTTTATATTATATTTTCGTATAGCACAGTCAAAATACATATGTTATTTTATTTTTCCACATTTAAGTACACCGATAGCATTTTGTTTTTTAGCAGAGACTGATGGGTCGGTTACTTGACCCGTGAACGGCAAGGGTGGCCTGACGCCCTTGATGACCCGTTTTTTTAAGGTTATCGGCTGGCGCATTTTCTTTGTATGCGACCAGGCTACTAGTCTCTCCCTCTTATACACGGGGACTGGAGAAGGTGCGACACGTTTCCTAATTGCGCCGGTAGCATATTTGATAAGAAGCACCAGTAAGAAACGACAAAACTTAAGGTAAGTCATGTAAAATATGTATTTGCCATTGGTTATAATTATAGTTCGCTATTTAAAAGAACATTGCTTTACCTACTGACCTTGTGTATTGAAACGGATTTGTTACGCTATTCCTGTGTGAAAACTATGACGTACGAAACCGAGTTCGTGTGTCCTCGGTGAAAATGAGGCTTTTGATCTGAAAGGGAACAAGATAAAATTATCCCTGCAGAATGCAATTTAGGCACCATTCCCATAGACACCATCGCTCTACATGGATAGACCTAGCTCTCTCTTTCTCTCGCTGAGTGCAATCAGCTTAACTGAATAAAAACCCCTCCGCCTGGAGTTAAGTAGAATACCAGTCAGCGACGTTAGCCATTGGTCCGTTAGGACCAGTAGATTTTTCAGAATGTGTGAATTTAGTTGTCCGACATGGCCAGAAGGTTTTTTTTTTTTTTTTTTTTTTTTTTTTTTTTTTTGTTAAAAACTAACCTTTTCCCATTATTTCTCCATAAAATTGCTTGAGTGCAGGGTTTAACACACCTACTTGCGTTACTTAGCGCAATAAAGTCATTTCTGCGGTCTGACAACAAGAATTTTAGTCGTACCAAGGACGTGAATAGAATACTTGCGTCCTTGGTTGCACTTGACCGCAAATGCAGGTGACTTGCTAATGGATCACTTGCGCCGCGCATCTGTGGAATTTTCCAAAGAATCAAGAAAATCTGACTTCAAAAAGCGACCCACTGACCTTTTTTTGTGAGGATTTTATCTTTTTGTTATAATGTTCTCCGACACGCTATCTTTCTCTCCTGCGCCACCTAATTTCTGTATGGTAAATTTTAGTGCAATCGGCCAGGATAATCTTCAGCCTAGCATCCCCAATAACTAATTAATAGTCCAAACGCTTAAATTTCAATATGCTATTAAGCAGGGTGTTTGCCAGCTAGTTAGGACAGCGATTTGTCGAGTGGATGAGCTTTTTTATTTCGTCCTGTTTGAATTTGACTTATAAAACACAAAAATTACTTTAAACACCAAAACCAACATAAAGGTGCATTTCACATGGTAAAGTTACAAAAAATAAAATTGAATGAATTCGAAGTTGCATTCAATTTTTAAACATATATGCGTATAGAACAATGTTAAACTTGTAGAAAATTAAAAAAAAATAATAATAAAAAAATAAAATAAATAAAAAAAAAAAAAACCAGTGCTGATCGAATTTTTCAAAGCAAGAATTACACTTCTGTACCTGAAAGTTTTCCATTTCTAACATTTGATCCTTCCTGCCCGCGGGGGGAAACTATTCAGTGGCTATTAGGGGATTATGCGACAAGATTTAAAGTGGATGGGCCATATCTGATCCACGGATCTGTTAGTCTGCGGATCAATTGATTGTGCATGCAGCCTAAGCAGCGTATGTAGTAAAGTCACCGTATTGAACAATACAAGAAAGAAAAAGACAGCATTGCCAGGATTATTCCTAGCCCATTAAAGAAGCATGTCTGTATTTTATATTATTTAATTAATTTTTTTTAATGGAAAAAATAAGAACTGTTGCATTAAAGCACTGTTGTAAGTGGACATTTTATTTTACAGACCCAAATACTGGAAACAGAAAGCAAAGTGATAACTGGCCACAATGTCGTCTGTATTAGATAACCTTTTCAAGGATTTATTTGAAAACGAGGAAGTGAAAATCTTGATGGTTGGGCTTGGCGCTGCAGGAAAGACCACTACATTGCACAAACTGCAGCTTCGGGAGATTGTCACAACCACTCCAACAGCAGGTGAATTACATTATTGTTTTATGTGGGAAGTTTGAGTTTAATTTCGTAACTTCTTGAAATAATTTGCAAAAGGGAAATTACATTCTATTTACAATCACAATCTTTTAGGTTAGATTGCCTTTTAATTTAGAATTCTTGCACCAGCATTACAATTCAAAATGAATAAATATATCTATAAAGCATAATTAAATAAGAAAAATTGATACCAATAGCAGATTGAAACTTTTTTACTAGTCCTTTTTGACAGTTAGACTTTGTGAGGTACCAGTATTTCATTTGTGTTCATTGCACATTGCCTTTTGGTGTAGTATAATATGACGTAGCCATCCAACAGACCCGGAGTCAATTTTTAATCAAGTCCTGATAAATAAAAGATTCAGATACTATTAAATTTTTATAAAACTTTGCTGACTTTTTGTGCCAGAATCAGAGCTTTTCAATCAGGAAGTAAATACTGCTCATGAAGCATTCAACAGTTATTTATTTATTTATTTATTTATTTATTTATTTATTTATTTATTTATTTATTTACAGGTTTCAATATAGAAACAGTAGAATACAAAAACATAAGCTTTACAGTGTGGGATGTTGGTGGTCAGGACAAGATCAGACATCTGTGGAGACAATATTTCCAGAACATGAAGGGTAAGCTGCATTAGTAAGTCAATTCTGTTCACCTTGGGCAAGTTCAGACAAGAGCACTTTGGAATGGAAATGGGTCGCACTTGTGAAGTGTGACTACAAACACTTTATGACGCAGCCCATTTGATTGGTTTAAACTACCAGAAAAATTACTGCACTATTTTGTAGTTTATAGAAGACATTTAGCAAGCCGTTGTGCAGGTTACTGTCAGTGTGATTGGACTTTGACATAATGTCAATTTTTTATAAGAATACAAGGCATAATGTGATATTATTGGTTGTGATATTGTTGTTTTTGTTCCCTATGTTTTATTCAAAATACCTCATTTAAGTTATCTCAACTCCTTTTGTGGATCATCCATTAGAAAATAACTTCCTCGTCGATGCTAAGTGTCTGACATTGTGTCCTGATATACATGTAGCATCCAAAGAGTCTTTCAACTCAGTAAAGATATGTATATTCTTTCAGATAATTAAATTTAAATTTTGATATACAGACTTGACATTCAATGTGGAATATTTTCCCAAGTCATTTATCTTTGATTTAAAAAAAATGTTATTTTAATCTCCACATTTTTCTCTCTGTGAAAGAGTTCCATGCCCCATACAGGACGTTCATATCAATATAGTCACAGGAACGGTCCGTCTCATCTGGCTTCTGGGGTTCTCATTTGCAAGGTATTCCTTCTGGCAGGTTTCTTGGAGTTTGATCTGGAATGATATTCCAGGAATCAGTCGGTGCCCGTCCAATATGTTTTAGATTTGTTGTAAGACCAGAATGCTTTTTATTTGACGAGTCATGGCAACCTACAGATTGTCTAAAAGCTTTAAACCTGGCGAACTTGATGGCCGCGGTAGCTGCTCAAACCCTTGGTTTTGCAAGTAATCCTCAAATGCAAGTAAGTTCTATCTAAAATGAAATTGTTCCCAAGGTGCTCTTTAACAAATGACAGGCGGTAGAATGTTCCTGGATTTGATCAGGTTTAGGTTTCCACCGATGTCTATCAAAGAGGTTTTGGCTCCAATGTGAATTTATTCTGCCCCGAATACATATGCTCTGGGGGCGACACATGCTTGGCACTTCGCCTCTTCGGGATGTCTGTGAACTCTTATTGTGCCACCATTGCGGAACAGATATCTGTGGTGAAAACCTTGAAAAACACTCTCTAATAACTCAGTCTGAAGGGGACGGGCTGCCATTGTAAAACTGTGGCAATAAGAGCCGCATGGTCGTAAGAATAGTGGGTTTTGTATCATGGTGTAAGTTTTGATTGCCGTGGGTGTTAATATTTTAAAAATTCAAATACAAGGCTCAAGATATTATTTTTTGAATAATTTATTTTATTTCCAGGTATAATCTTTGTTGTAGACAGCAATGATAGAGAAAGGGTAGGTGAAGCCCGAGATGAGCTCAATAGAATGCTGGCAGAAGATGAACTGAGGGATGCTGTGCTGCTAGTGTTTGCTAACAAACAGGTATGACCAAAGTCAGCTACACAATATGTCAGGGCATATTGTATAGCCATCACCACTCAATGAAAAATCGTACTTGGAACATACATTTAAATACAACTTTTCCTGTTATACTTAACATTTTTCTGTAAATGCCTATCATTTTTATTCTCTTCAGGATTTACCAAATGCAATGAATGCTGCTGAAGTAACAGAAAAACTTGGACTGTACAATATCAGAAATCGTGTTTGGTACATCCAAGCAACATGTGCTATCAGCGGAGATGGGCTTTACGAAGGATTGGACTGGTTATCAAATGAGCTTAAAAAGAAAATATAAATATTTGAAATGACAGACATTTTGCCATTCAGTAAAACAATTATCGTCATTGTGACTTTGAAGGAGAACTTTGTACATTTAGGTGACATTACAGCACATAATTGAAATATCTTCTTTAATGGCGGGTGTTTCCTAAGTTCTTTTGAGCAGTGCATATCCTAAAATATTTGCTGAATATATGTATCGAAATGTAAATCCATTGGACTTTGCTAAAAACTACATTTATTTTGTCAATATTTAAAGGTGATCATAAGAGTTATGCCAGTTTCTTTTCAGTCAGATTTCTTGTGGCACTATATTCCTTTGATTTGATAATTACAGTATGAATATCAATACACAAACTTCTAATGATGAAATGCCGCTCTGGTTTTTATCGTTTCAATAAAACTTGTCGAGTCATCAATATTATTTTGATTTGAACGTATGGAAAATCCTTGTATTGATTTAGATATTTTATAGGAACTGTAAATTTTAAGGAAGCCACATACTGAAAGTAAAGTATTAGACAAAAAAAATGTCATACTGTTTTACTATCTTGGAGAGAAGATGCTTAGTATGCACGCAGACTTAAACGCTGTCACAAACTTGAGTTGCCTGTCGTCACTGTGCGTGGGCACCTTTTTTCCTTTTGACGCGATTTCCATAGCCTTCCCAGAAGTCGCTTGTAACCCTCTCTCACTTCCGGTAGCCTGACTCCGTATATGACGGGATCCAGGATTCCGTTCAACATGGGGATTATCCCCGAGATGACTTGTGTGAAAACCACCTGGAAACTAACTTCGAAGTCTTTTGCTGCCATATAAGCCTTAATGTAAAATGTGACAACTGCCGGCAACCAGCAAATAACCACACTGGCGGATAAGATAACAACTGTTATGATTAACTTTTTATTCTTTTTAGCAAGTGTGGCATTTCGCTGGATGTCCCCGTTGGATGGGTAGTAGTTATGCTTGCTTACGATCTTTCTAGCAATGCGGAACAGAACCACGTAGAGAACCATATTTGCAATAACCAAAATAGTACACAAAATGGCATAGTACCATGATTTACCGGCCGCATTCAATTTGGTGTAATGCAAACAGCAGTCGGTACCGCCTTCTCCAAAACTAACAACGTGGAAACTCAACGGGGCCAAGCACGCAACGATGAATGTAACTGCCATACCAATGTGGATTCTTCTTTTAGTCACCAGCGTGTTGCTTCGTAACGGGAAAGCAAGCGAGATTGTCTGATACAGAACAATGTACGTTGTCACGAGGAGGGGCAATTGGAAAGCGAACACACACAGATCAGCGGTTACCAAGCTGAAACACACCAAAGTGGGGTTTTGGGAAAGGTTCCTTGAAACGTGGAGCACCTGTACAGCGGCTGCGTGGATGATGCTGAAGAAGATAAATCCCAAGTCTGCAACCGACAGGTAAATCAAAATGATATGGAGGGCCTGCCAGGGTTTGTTCGTTTGAAACAATGCTGTAACGGATACGGAGTTTTCTATAAGCCCAACGGCACACAGAAATACAGCAACTCCATATGCTCCTTGCAGTTGTATCTCGTTCGTTGGTGATAACGGAACAACGCTGTTGCAATCAACGGTGCCATCCGTGATCTCAATGGGATCAAAACCGAGAAAACAAAGTTGGGGTCGGAAGATACCAGTTGTTTCATTTTTTGAGTATCCAGACGTTTTCATTGCAAAAAAGTTGGTCTTGTCGTATAAGTCTCAACTCTCTTTTACACACCACGGTATATTTGACACAGAGTTTTTTGACAGTTGCTGTACCTTCACAATCAGGTATGTCAAAATATAACAACTGAAAGGCCGACGTCTTGATTATGGTGCTTTTTCCAGGAAGAACCTCTTATTTCCCCTTGTCTCCGCGTCTCTGAACTTAGTGCGAGTTAAACTCTACGTCATAGGTTTTATGACAGTATTACAGCGTTACTGTAATCCCGAAACAGGTAGTGCGTTGAAATATATGCGCTTCAACCCGACAACTGTATATCAAAGGTGAATGTGTTTTTATCAATCACCAACAGTTATATAAATATATCAAATGCCTGCCTGATACACAAACAGCTACCCGCATTCGTTTGTAGTGTTTTGCTACAAATGAGTCATATTTCCTGGTGCGAGGCAATTATCACACAAAACACTGGTGGCAAGTATTAAATGAGTTTTCTGAAGGGGAATTATAATGTAGGCCTACCCAATGGTGCACTGTAGTTTTTAAGGATGGGACGGTAAATTATGGATGTAATGTATCGACTGCCACTTTGTTTAATCAAAAATACAAGGTTTTATTAGTCCTAACTCGTGGATAATGCATGCTATTTGACAAATAGGTAGCAAACGGTCATAATGGTGTTTTTATCACTTTTGCTTTGCTGATAACAGCGTGGCACCGGCATGATGCATGGGTATGGTTATCAAAGTTATTACTATTCTGTGATATGAAGAAGATGTACTTTTCCCACATCTTTTTTTCACGGTGAATATTGTGATCGGTTCGTTGTGTAATCATATAGTGGTTCTTTAACTTTACACTATCGTCTGAATTCAAAGGCGTACTATGCGCGCTTGAGTTTTATGTATCATGTGGCAATAACAAAGTTCCCCCCAGACGTTTTTAGCAAATTTTCTGTTATCACCAAGGTGCACTTTATCCCAAATGCCTAAAAACGTTCTATAAACCCATTATCCAGTAACAATATTCATTTTCAAATTATTACCACCACGAGTGAAATTCTCCATACTCTATTTCCGGTACGAGACTGAGTCAAAAATTGGAATAAAAGGATGCAAAAGCAGATTTATAGGTCGTTATTTCATGAACAATCATAATTTAGTGACTGAGGAAATAAACATTAACTATACATATTAAAACAAGCAAATTAAAAATTCTGTTTTAAAAATGTTGTACTCTCATTGCACATGTGGTCCTTTAATACACGCCATGCCTAGAAGACGTAACGGACGACAAAGTAAATTAACAACTGATTTGGTTGTTTCAGAAATATTTTAGTCTATCCCTTTGACCAATCATACCAACTTTTACACAAAAAGCAAATAGAGTAAGCTTTAGGCTGTTGCCATGTTAAGTGAACTACCTCAGTTTTATCCTTTTCCAATTTAATAATGAAAACCAACTAAAATGGTTTAGGGAGATGACTCCTAGAACGGACCCAGTTTACAATCACTTCTGGTTCGGTTACACCCTTTAGGAACCCGCTCTCTGTTGAGATTCCCAGCTGAGTTTCAACGTCTAATATCGTTCAAGAGCTAGCACAATATATGCCTGAATGTCTCTCACGGGTACAAAATACAAGCAATGGTTTTCCAAGTATTTCGACTTACAATTCCGTCAGCTGTGGGACAACTTTGAAAGCATTAGCTAAGCACGTTATTTAGCAGTTCCATTAAACATTTAGCGATCAAAGAGATTTTCTGCATTAGCCTTTCGTCCGCTCACTGATGTTTTGGTCGAAAGCATAATCAGTTACGTGTCTAAGCGTGGCACCGGCATGATGCATGGGTATGGTTATCAAAGTTATTACTATTCTGTGATATGAAGAAGATGTACCTTTCCCACATCTTTTTTTCACGGTGAATATTGTGATCGGTTCGTTGTGTAATCATATAGTGGTTCTNAAGCTAGCTAGCTAATGTACAGATTGCAAAGCCTGCTCAATCTTCATGTTACGACAGTTTGACACCCGTTTTACATTCACTGTTTTAGCGAGATCATTATCGATATGTCATCTGTTGTTCATGTATTTGTTATCCATTCTGCCAAATATAACAAGGTCGGATTTTACGTTCCTTGATATCTTCGCCATTTAATATTAATGTTCTTGATCCTATTATCCCTAGTTGTAGAAAAAACTTGAAACGTCCACTGTTTTCGCTAGCGGTTTACCCTTATTGTGCTAGAGGAGCCGGGTGATTCAGCACTTCTGATGCAACGTACATTTGCTTAAGTGGTAACTTTTCATTGAGTGTGGTGCCCCGTGAGTTTGCACTTTATTTCATTCAACACAGTGTCTCCGTAGAAGGAACACATAGTATATTCTTTCTTTTTTATTTTCTGTTTTGTTACTTAGAATTAATAGTTTTAGGAATGGCAGATATGTTTTATGTGTCTTGTGAATCCCTACGTGAAATAAAACCAAGATCCAATGAACAACTTACGCCTGTCGTTGGGTTTGCTTATCTGTGTAGCCCCCGTGTGCTATTAGAGGATAATTCTGTTGTGCTACTTGCAAAAGTCCAAACTACCATATCCAAAATCTTATATCTTCAGTAGACAAAATCTCAGCATTATTTTTAAATGTTCCTTTTATACCTTTTTTTAGATATTTATTAATATTAATTTTAGTCGACTATGCATGTGCATGTTTGTGATTTTTGTTTCCAAAGCGTTGAAAAGGGCTCTGGCCTGATATATACACAATAAGCGGATCCAGGATGAGGGAGGAGGAACATTTCTTTATACGTTTTTTTCGTTGAAATTATTCATTCAAACGTCTATCTCAGACTAAGCTGCTTGCAATTTAAAAAAGTAAAATTTCTTCTTGGAATTGTAGCAGACAATGACAAATTATTCAGTTTCCTACACATGGTAGGCCTACATGTACCCCCCCCCCCCCAAAAAAAAAAAGAACTTGCAATTAACACGAGGATATATAGTTAAATATTGTTTTACGATGAATGGGGCATCATTTAGTAGGGAGGATATCTTGTTCTCTGAATGTTTTTAGAGAGTTCAGTCAAACTGGCAATATCGGGTGGGCGACTCCAAACACCCTCTCCGGATCTGGCATGACGACATTTTCTTTAGACAACATCAATTTCATCTCCGAAAGCTGTGCTAATGAGTTTTTGTTGTCTTGTAGAACTTTGGCGGCGGTGGAACAAGCAGGGTTTTCAAAGAACTCGACCTCAGCGCCCTCTGGGATCGTTTCCAAAAGAGCTTTAAGCAGTGCTATCATTGCAGCAGACGATTCAGCGTAAAGTGGCGCGAGATGGAAATAATGAGGAGCGTCTTGGATGACACCGTAACCCTTTACGGCCCCGTCGTGTGCTACAGCTACCAAAGTGGTAGAAGTTGGTTTTGTTAGCCAAATTTCCAAACATTTTCTCCTAGGGAACCCGTGGATAGACGTGTCGTACGCAAATAAGCTGTCAAAGTCGACGTCACTCTTTTGAAGGATTTTGATTGGCGGATGAGTCGCGCGTTCTGACTCTTCACATGTTCTTAGCTTTGAGATGTCAATTTTACCGGCGCAAACCATGATAGATTGGAAATTGCCGGAAGCAAGCTTCATCCCAAATTTTATATTGGTATGGACCCTCTCCACCACGCTCCACAGAAGCAAATTTCTTTCCCCGACGATGTCTAGAATTCTTCTGGCTATCCGCTTGGCTTGAGAAATAAAGTAATAGGCAAGCTAATTAAAAACGACAGTAGACCCAACACCATCTAATAATGTAAAATCGTAACTAAATTCCTAATACCTTGCAGATGGAATTGTTTCTCGAACTGATCTGATTAGTGACATTTGGAAGCGTACAGGTATTTGTTGCCGTTTCTAATATACTGCACATTATAACTTCCATTTGTTCCAATGCCCTTATGGCACAAGAGAAAAAATCTATCATTATTCCATTTATGCAATTATTTACTGTACTCATGCAAAAGGGCGTTTTAGGGTAAAATGGAAAAATGACCTTTTGCATGTTGCTATATTCTTACCGACTTTTGTCCCTCGATATTTCTTCGTCACGATGAAGTAACCGACAAACGCAGTGCTCTCGTTTAACAATACCGCAACTCTGCAACCTACAATAAAACGACGTGCTATTTTATTGTGCACGGACAAATTCGTCTATTGATCATAAGGCCAATTACGTGACTATTATACATTTGCCATATTTAAGATATTGTCGCTGCATTAGTTGTTCTAAAACATCGAAATAGGCCTTAAGCACACACTTAGCTAGAAATCTTAAGAGTTGGCAATAAATTTTGCTCTGGCTCTGACATATGACAATAAGCTTTAAAACTAACACAGAAAAGGCCTCTGGATGCACGAGTGAATAAAAACAGAAAGTGGCTATAAAAGAAAAAGCACTGGAAACAGGTTCAAAGTCCACGATGAAGATCTTTTTTTTTTCTTTTTTGGAAAATATAGTGTAATATGGTAGGTTCTCACCAATCAGCTGTCCCAGGTGTTCTGCTACAATGAAGTTTTCTTCTCCTACGTACTCCATTATAGCTGACAGCGTTTCTTTACTCCTGAAGAATTGGGCCTCCTCCGCTAAGCAATTAATCCCCGGGATATCTTCCTGCCGCGCTGAACGTATGATGACGTCAGCTGAAATGTCGTCTGCTGCCATTCTGCAAAATACATTTGAATACATGATTATATCACTATACTCTAGAGATTCATATAGGCCTACAGAAGTTTGTATTTATTGGGAATTGAATCTATTTTATTATTTTGGATTATGAAGGTCACTGTTGTTCAGGGGCAGAAATAATAATAGGCTACATACAGCAGGTGTTGTTAAAACAGTGTTGCGAAAAAGTAAATTTCGGAAAAATAAACCTTCCGAAAAATATATATTACATGTATATCTTAGACTGATGAATATACGGGCTGATAAAATTCTTTTGTGTCTGAATACATCAGTATTGCAACGCCACAATACGATATCTGGCTACGGTACAGTATATATGTACTAGTACTTGCAGATAAAACTGCAGATAAATGCGTTGTATCGATCTAAAAGTCTTAATGTGTTCTCAACGTTATTGCGAACGAGGAAAATCCATTAGGTTCTTTTATTACACTTATTCAACTGGAGCTGTTTTACTTGCAATGGCCTGCTTTAACACTGGAGTTACTGGTAGGCCTACATGAATGCATTCACATTTCAGAGTGGAGGTATGGATCTAGTTTCACTTTAAATACTACCAGTTTCTGTCAAGCAGGCAATGCAGTAAATAATATCTAACAAGCTTTGCTCTTTGTAGTTATATAAAAATCGCATACCTTTTGCGGATAGGCCTACTACTGGTATGCTTAATCGGTCAATTCCCCCAAGTGATCACAGCTAGTTTCAATCAGTCAGGTTACGGCTAGTCCCGCTACACTGCCCCTTGGTCGTTGCGACTATCAGTGAGATATGTAGGTACAGGAGGTTGACCCTGGACGTCTTGCAGCTTGATATGAGAGCTCACATAAGACGGGACCTGCATGATAGGTCAAGGTCATTGTTATGATAAAATAGGTCAGAGGTAAAATACAAAGTCTCGTAGAATAGATCGATTTTTTTTTCTTTTTGAAAACCAGCAGTGGTTAAAGTTGTGACACTTCCTGGGGACTCGTTCGACGTTCATTTGTTAGAAATATTTGATAAGATATAATCTAAAATGCTTCAAGATGTCCTTTCCACAGTGTTGGTGTAAATGTTTTTATTAAACGCCAACTTGCAAACAATGCGATTCTAGAATGAAACGCAAATATGAAATCTATTATGGTTATTGGAAAGGAATAGCATCAAAAACGTGATCAAACGCGTTCTAGGAGAGGGGATTTTCATGTAAGTAGTATTTTCCTTTTATCCTTAAATTCAGAAATTATTGGTATTTGATCAACGTTCGAAAAAAACATTATTTATTGGTTTTAACACTAAGGGTTTTACTACAAGTCCCACTAAAAAGGCAATAGTTTTATACATATCTACCCAAGTACACGCGGAACAGTGAGTTTACAGATGGCTTCTAAAATGATGTATGGTGCTGTAATGTAGAGATGGCAAATTGTTAACCAGGAATGATCCTTTTAAATGACAGTCAATGTTATGGCTATTTTAAGTTCAACGTCAATTTCACAATTTCTGTCATCAGCAAAATGAATTTAATGTTATCTTATCAACATTAGAACGGGCACCAGGTTCATTCCAAACAAGAAAAAAAAATCCTACGCATTATTTTTGAAATTTGTTCTAAGCGTTTGGGCCACGAACATTTAATTCTAGAAAATTGATTATGTGGTCGGATTGATCACACCATTCGAATTGTTTGGACAACTACCGTATGTCTTATCTTGAAACTAGAGCCTTCGTGCGCGTGTTTGAGTGAATGTGTATATTTTCTAGTGTGAATTTTGTTAATGTGTCCGCGCCTGTGTTTGTGTGCAAAATGCTTATGTAGAAATAAAAGTGATCAGTGATAACTTCAAACCATTCTGCCACAAACTTGTAGTTGTATAAAACCTTTGTATTGTCAATGATAAATGGATAGGTGTTAGGGACAAAACTTATTTCGGACAGACACTTAATTGAGGAAGTCGTGACCACGTTTGTCTGCACGGCTCATAGCACGTTGCTGGAGTGACTGCACGATGGACATTTGTGGCCCACCACACTGCCCTGTATGAGGCCCAGATTGACAAAAGATAATAATAATAATAATAATAATAATAATAATAATAATAATAATTGTGCCATCTTCCTAATTGACTTATGCAAAATTTGATTCTTAAACGGTGACACGTACGGTAATCAAAAATTGCATCATTGCTGCATGTAAAAGTGAATAAATTGCCCTGGAAACTATACTGTCTCTGTCACTGTAGGTTTATTTTGCAAAGATCTTTATAATTTAGTGAGTATTCTAAAATCCTGTTGCAGTCAGCGGCAGCTACATTGTGTAAAACGCCGAGTGCTGCCAACATTTGGTGAACCTGGACGCATCTTTGAACGCACCCTACAGAGGAGAAATTTTAGGTGTGAGCCCCCGCCCCCCTTCCCGCAGCCAATTTTACAATTTCTCGTTCATCCCCGATTTTAACTGACATGGACTGCAGTCAAAGCTCTTCCCCCAAAAAGTTAAAGTATAGATATACTTTTGTTGTAGGTTTACTTATCCTCATTTCCTACCACGTCTTGACCTGATAAGTAAGCCCAGCCATGCAGGTTCTTTTAAGATGGCGTTTTGATACACATTAACCGTGTTAAAAAGACATTATATGGGGACGGCTAAAGTAATTAAATATGTCCGATTTCAATGTTCTCTTGAAAGCCTAGATGTCTGGTGGGGAAGTACAACGCGAGTGTTTTACATGATGGGAAACGATTTGAAGTGTATTACAAAGCTGTTCTTCTTACGAGACAATACTGTACGAATGGATAATCATAGAGATCTGATTCATAATTCTATTTAGATAATCAGTTTATTGCTAAGCTTGATCAGGTTGGAATATCATATTGTATTACTGTTAAACTTACCGTTTGTGAACCAATAATTTGATAATTGCTTAATGATATATCAAATTTCATACTTTTCAATCCACGATTCTTTCAAATTTCGATGAAATCTTATTCTTTACCTTATCGGTTGTAACATTACAAAATTAAAATGTTGGAAGTAAAATATTGGACGTTCCTATCGTATGAATTAGTCAATTGCCCCTTATTCCTGCTCTCTCTTTCTCTCTCTCTTTCTCTCTCTCTCTCAAAATTCTCGTTGCTATGCTTGGATTTTCCGAGCACAGGAAAATGTCTTGCCGACGGCAATTCATCAAGTTTGATAGCATCAAGATTTATCTCTGTCCCAGGTCCCCAAGACGTGGGGCCTGGTACACGTCGCCCAAGGCCGCTGTGGTTACTGGTACACTTATCACGAGGAGTTTGGAGTATAATGCATTAATATATATGTATTGTTACGCGGTTTACTGCAACGTACATGTTTTAAACCTTGCGCATTGTTTAGAAGTGTTTGTGGGGAACGCGCTACCCCGCTCCGTTGATAATGACTTTGACCACACACTTTGAACAATGTATTCGGAACAACTAACATTTCAGATAACGCATATGATATCATTATTTATATTGACCTAGGAGAGCGTTTGGCATAAGACGCACGTCAACTGAGAAAATAGTACTTAACTCACTTTGCCACCGCAACTGTTCTCACGGAGATTTGTAAAAGCGGTGTCTGGAAGCGGTTTTCAACAAAATATTATATATTCAGTGCTGTCAATTACATTTTATCTTAAGGCAATTTACTCTGTTTTCATGTACGCATATCACTTAAGGTACAATGTTTTGATGTGTGTTGGCATCATGCTTACTCCATTAGTATTATTCTCAGTGTCTTTGAACACTCGAAGCGTGTTCTTTGAATCAAAAGCCGAGGGACACATTTAGCTAAAATAATGTCACTTAATCTTGTCTCAAAGCACGAATGAACAGTACTGCTACTTTGCTGTGGTGATTTCAAACCGCTCTTTCTGGTGAACGAAACCGTAAAAATATGTTTTGCTTCCTTGTTCTTAATTCAAAAAGGACTGTTTTGGTTAAATTAATAGCCCCTCTGAGCGACCATCTCTATATTGCGCCGGTCGCACACACACACAGAGAGAGAGAGAGAGAGAGAGAGAGAGAGAGATTGAAGAGGTCTGTAAAGTGATAAATGCATGTGAAATGGGTTTGGAACGTTTCTGTTTCCTTTCAGTTGCCTATTTCGGTTTATTATACCTATTAGCTTTAAGTTCTTCAACTTTCTCTGTCAACTCTTTTTTTCTTTCAAGAGTTCTGCATTTGGACTTATTGCTAGAAAAATTTTTCATTTCACTTTTCCTCTTACCATAAAGCCACCGATCTTGTGTGCAAGTGAGCCTTCACTTAGCAAAGATGCAGATTATTTTATTTTGCATTAAGGCAGGCTTTTCAAAGCAACCCGTCTAAAAAACACCAATAAGCACGGTTCGTGTGCATCATGCATCGCGTACTCTGACGTATTTAAGGTAATTTAAGTGAATATGTTGAACGCAAAACTTAATTAAATTGTTACAAATGTCTCTTGTTTATGGTGGGTTAATACAATGACCTAGAAATAATGAGCCATTGGTAAATATCAATGAAATATGTTCGAGTTGGCATGTACAGAATATGAATTATCTTTTATAAGGGCATACTGATTCTAATATGATTCATTTTCACTTACAAACTGTTCGGAACAAAACAGCGAACGCCCAGAAACCTGAAATTAAGGTTAGGTTATTTCCATTTTTTACCGTTCTGTAAATTTATTTATTTATTTATTTATTTATTTATTTATTTATTGTCCGCATGCAGGCTTTCGTTTATGCACTGATCTATTAATTAATGAGCAAAAAACTAATCACATTCGCGCAGGCCACACACACACACAAACACACACACACGCGCGCGCGCGCGCGCATGCACACACTTACAAACTCTCTAACGCGCGCCCACGCGAACACATACACACACTCGCACACAAACCTGCACATGAAAGAGGAATACATATTCAGGTTTTGTCCCACAGTGCACTTAAATGCAGAAATAATAGCTCGCTTCTCATCTTTCTTTTTCATTTCAATCTGAAACCACTCTATTATAACAGCTCATGCAATTAGTCAAAAATTACCGAATCTTGACCATGAAATGATATATTCCCTCAATTACTCGCTGCCCAAAGAATTATAATATCACTGACAAAGAAAACTGTTCACGAATTGACAGTATATCATAATTAATCCAAATTAGAATAAACAGCAGTCATTAGTCACTAATGTCAGTCAAATATGCACTTATTAGGTAGTTTAAAAACAATTATTTAAATGTGATAACTATTGTGTACAACACACCTTTGTAAATAATGGATTTGCCCCAAGAAACCGTCTACCATAGTCAAATGGATGATTTCTTTAGTTATGTTTTGTTGCAAGGCTATTTTTGATGTGTTCAATTTAAATTTTAATTAAAATTTGTTTCGATTGTTAGTATTTTTTTTACATCCGTAACATAATGCATGTATTTGTCGATTATGGAAATAAAATTCCTTTCGGTTTCATTGGAAACTTTTAAACCCCTCATACATGTACAAAAAAGACGGAAAAAGGGCAAAGATCACATGCATAGGAATTTTTTGCTTATCCACATTTACTCTAAAAAACAATTAACAAGAACTAGGTCAAATGCACACAACACAGATATCAATTGGAAAGCAAAACATAACGTGCATTGCATATTTTTTGCGCCGTTAAGTGCAGAGCATTAAACCCAGAAGCCATGATGGGGCCCAGATTGAACGAAATAGCTGGTGCGACTCCGTGTAATTTTAAAATAATTGGTATTTAGATTTTAATGTGTTTTACTTACGCACTTCAGCCAGATACATTGTACAACACTTGAATTATAATACAGCAAAAGGACTGACTTAGAGAGCTGGTTTCACAAGATGGTTAAAATCTCAAAAATTGGTCTAAATTTTAGCCCCAGATGTTGTCTACTTCAATTTAGATAAGTTTCATTGAACTGAAACGTAAGTCATGCCATGTTGCAGGCACAGTTTTCAATTCCATCGGGCAACTATGCATGTGTCTTGTGTCAGAAGGGACAGGTACTTTTGATTTAGTGCACGATTTGGGCTACAGCTATTTTGTAAAATAAACCCCAGTGAACTTCAATTTCGAAATCTGTTATCTGCTGTCTAAGCGATATTGCGTCTGTGATTTGTACAGAAGAGAGCAAATAATATATTTTATTTAAATATTATCAACAGTCATCCCAATAACAATGCAGCAAGATTATGCAGCAAGATCTATTTAATTTATTTTTAAAGAAAGTTACATTTGAAAAGTGACTCTCTGACGGACCCTGTGAGCTTGAAGGCTTCCTGAGATAGCCTCCTTACAATAAACACCACGCAGGCGCATTTGCATCTTATTTAACCAATGTTGGAAAAGCTTTAATTAAAGTTAAGTTTTATGTTCGTGTCCTTATCAAAGGTACCATTATTCTTTGACAATAAGACAAACGGAAACTAAAATGGCACTATAACGTTTCTTTAATACATCCTGTAATAAAGTAGTCAGACATAAACTGTATATTTTATGCAAACATATCTTACAATGACAGGAAGAGTAAAAGTTGCTTACACCCTTTTAGTTAAATAGATATAAGACATAATGGAATAATTATATTCCCATACTACAGTCACGCCCTTTTAATCCCGTTCGAATTAATTTTTGTCCAATTAGTTAACTTGTCGTCGTAAAAAAATATTTAGATTTTAGCTAATTTATAACAATACTGTTTGAGTCACATTTTCATCAATATTGTAACTCAAATTTTTCATACATTTTTCTTTATCTTTTTATTCTTCTCTGTCATTATTATTATTGTAATTATTATTCATCTCTTTTTGTATTTCTGATACTTTCTAATATGTCTATCAAGTTTAAATGGCTCTGGTACAACACAACGTAACTGTCCTTATCAGAGAGTGCAAAAAGATTAACCGTTTGATAAATTGTTTAAATGGTGTTTAAACCCCTAGTTTGCGGACGCGATGTGACCGCGTGAAAGAGGCACTCAGTAGTACCCACACGTGAATTAATATGCACGTCACGACGTTCGACTGAAGTCACCTCACCGTTACCAAGCGGGAATAATTCGGGCACGTCCAAAGGCGGCGATATATAAGGGGCGAACGCTTATCGGGTGTTTCATCCCCCGTTTGGTAACGGTTAGGTAAGGAGAAACAGATCTTCAGGTTAGGAACTCAGAGGCCGTCTTCTGATTTGTTACCGGTTCAAGATGTTCGCTCTGAAGGTGAGTCCAATGCTGAATTGATAATCAATGTTCTTCAAATTGACATTGCTGATGGTATTTGATGGTATTTAAAATTGGCATTTGAAATTGTTTGTTTATTTTCTTTTCTTTCACACGCAGCTTCGTACATCCTACCAAACAAATCCAAACTTTGTAAATATCGTCCCAGAAAACCAGTGCAATTCTATGCAAAGAAAAATCATCAAAGAGAAAAGAGACTTTGCTGATATACATGTATGGTTTGCATAGCATTTGTAATGCTTGGGCAAGTGGCACTTTTATGTACAATAAGTTTCATAGTTTGGCTTTATTTTGACAGTGATTACTTTTTAAAAGCAGACAAGGGGCCCAGGTTTTTCATCATACGTAAAGTTTAAATCCTGTAACTGATTGCTTTTTCGTGTTGTACTAGAGCACCGTTTTGCATTTTTAGGATTTATCTTTTAATTTACATTTCCATTTGACTGAGGTTTCCTCTTAAGCCTCAATATACATTTTCTCAACTCTCACTTTCTCATTTTCTCCATAATGTCTTTTTCTTACTGCATAAAATTGTTCCTGACAAGAAAAGTCTTTAATCCTGATTCCAAGCCAGTAGTTGTCAACGCAGTAATCATTCTCCTAAAGAGCAGTTACCAACTGATTTTAGTCCCTTTTTTGAATCTCTCAAGTGATCTGTCGGCCAAGGTGATTGCCCTCTGCCCACCAATCATTGCAAACGGACCTGTCACATGTACCGATGGCCAGTCAGTGAGCATTCACTGTCCTCTTGTAGAGTATGCAACGTCGTTGCCATAATCATGCATAAACATTGATCCTTAAGTACATTTTTGGGCAATTTAATTAAAGCAATACACACAGTATCAAATAAATAACTAGACCGTTTTATATTCTTTGCAAACATGTGCTTCATTTGGTTTGAATGCAATGTTGTATTTTCCTGATACACACCGAATCAGCTGGTGGTCTTTCACGACGAAACCGTTAAAAACCACAGCACGGTAATTGGGCCATGACATCCGCGGTTTAAACTACACGTGAGGTGGAAGCATAATGGCACACCGGCATTTTTGATACCTTTATTGGGAACATTAGTTTCTTTCAATTTCCCCACCGTGACTAAATCTCTGCAGGGTCTTGCACTCACTAAAGTAACAGCAATGGTATGTTTTGAGAGAGAAAAAGATAGAGATGTCATTATCCCCAGGTTACTGGGGGGTTACCCTTACAGAGATTTCTATTAACATTTGTTTAAGGTCGAATACACTATTTCTTTTTTTCATTTAGGGACTTTACAGATCTGTTCCTCTGACAATTACAAATATATTAGAAGTGTGGTGCAGCCCTCTTTCAAAACAAAAACTGCTCTCTTTCCTCCATCTTGAACCTAAATTGCTATGTTTGAATTGATCTTGTCTTTTCAGACTTTTTTCCAATCGCTGTACCTCGTAGCATCTATTCTACCGTTGACCATTGACGCAGGTAAGATACATGTAGGCCTATTGTAGTAGTTGTATACATATTTAACTAGTATTATTAAATGACAAAAACTCCAGTTCAGATGGACAGGGAAGTTCGTTTCTTGGCGTCTGTAGTGCATCGATCAATGAAGCGTACTTGTGTTTATCATAGAATTGCATGATAAATATGTACCCTGTCTGCATTATGTGAGTTTAGATGTACCTGTGTAGACAGACGTATCGAGACGCTAACTTATATATATATATACACAAATTAAGATATATATACACATTTGTGGCCTTATTTCCTTCGCAAACTATTCCAAACCATTTTTTACACATATGTATGTACGAGCCGGTTTTGCCGCCCTTTCTAAAACCCGGCTCCGTTACACTAAGATTCACAAGACCATACCCCTTTCTTTAATGACGTCGAACAAATGGTTCAAGGCTGGCAATTGCATTTTATTCATTACTCGATACTCATACGGTTGTTTAATAGACAAATGATGGAGACATTCACGAACAGTTAAGTGAGAAGAAGATGTACACGCGTGGCAACAGAGTGATGTACCCATTAATTCTACATAACCCTGCAGCTTCCTCACTTCATTAAGGCCAATATACAAGTTAATTGTACGGTATTTATTACTGCTATTTGCATAATTGAAAGTCCTTTAATGTACCATTTGCTACAGTCTATAGGGCGTCGTTGAATATGGACACATAGGGAATATTATATTCACGCAGGACTGCTAGTATCTTTTTATATGGTTATGTATTCATCGTTCTAGTATTTCAATAAGATAAATATTATAAGTTATTATGATAATTATTATTTGAAATATGCGTTTTGGATAAGTCCAGATTTCAGGGTCACTCTGTACATGAATGACAGCAACCGTTGCAAAGGTCATTGAACTTTCATGAAAATTCTTAAAACGTTTCCGTCAAGACTCTAAGACTGCATGTAATTAAAATGAAAACCTTAGACTCTGAATATTTCCTCTGCTACAAAAGAAAGTACGTGTAAAAACCAATCTGTACGTATTCTGATGTTGCATGATTAAGATATACAGTCATGATTTTCGATGTCTTTTCAGCTCCTCGTGCTAAACGTCAAGCCAACTGCGCATGCCCAGCGAATGGGTTCACAGCTCAGGAGAAACAAGGTCTTGTGGACCGGCACAATTTCCATAGGGCAAATGTGAACCCACCGGCATCGGATATGACACGGATGGTGAGTTAACGCATGCACACACACAAATATGAATATATAACCAGCTTTGCTATCACACCTCCATTCTGCCACAAACTTGTAGTTGTATAAAAATTTTTGAATGATAATTCGATAGGTGTTAAGGAGAAAACTTATTTCGACAGACTTAAATGAGGAAGTCGCGACCACGTTTGCTTGCACGGCTCATAGCATTTAAAACATTATAGTGACTGCTTAATGGGCATTTCTGGCCCGCTGCACTTCCCTGTGTGTGGCCCAAATTGACAAAAGATAATAATAATAATAATAATAATAATAATAATAATAATGCAAAAAAATGAAAAAAATAAAAGTAAATCGTTTGTTTTAGGTATGGGACGACGATTTAGCCAACTGTGACGCTCAGGCGTACGCCAACAGATGCATATGGGCCCACGGAACCGTCGACCTCACCGGCTGCCCTTACGACTTCAGCACACCCCAGTACAGAGGTCAGAATCTATGGGCACGGACAGCCTTCTCGGCCCAGAAACCGACCAATCTGGCGACAAACGTCGTGGACAGTCTTCATGCAGAGAATCAATATTATAATTACGCTTCCAATACGTGTAACAATGGGAAAGTGTGTGGACACTATACACAGGTAGGGGATGATGGTAATGATGGTTATCAAGTGTAACATAAATGAAAGTCCTAGGAATGGAAGTTCGGGCTCCCATATGATTAGTACAGGTTAGGGTTAGTTGGAGTGTTGGGGTTGGTATATGGGACATATGTTACCTGTACAATGTAATGGGAAGCGGACCACGGTTCCTAGCGGACTTCCATTCCTGTCACACTTGTAAACTAATTTGTGTAAACAAATGTTAAGTGCGTGTGTGTATTAGGAGGCGGGGGGGGGGGGTCTTTTATAAAAAAAGTGACAAAGAAATCTGTCGACTTGACCAAATTATTTCGACCTGCACTTATTTTAAAATTATTTTAGTGAGTTATTTAGTGTCCGCTTGGCTTAAACAAAGCAGCAAAGATGAGAACTGTTATTTGTGTATAGTACACTGTATGTACAGTGTATGTCGATCCCGAGGAAATGTTGTACAATTACTCTGAGCTACATGTATTCCTCGTTCCTGTCACATTCCAGCTTGTATGGGCCAACAGTTATCGCCTGGGATGTGGTATCGCTTACTGCACCACGGGATCGCCATTTGCACAGTCCCAAAATTGGTGGAATGTCGTTTGTCACTATTTCCCTGGGTGAGTATGAGCGTGCGCTCGTGCGTGCATGCGTGTGTGTGTCAGCGTTATGTGTCTGTGTGGCTGTGAGTGCGTACACGTTCGTGTGTTTGTGTGCGTTTGAAGCGTATTTATGTTAGTCCACGCTAGGGGTATGTGTGAGTATGTTGCATATGTGTGTGTGTGTGTTATGCGTTCTTTGCTCGTGTACTGGTCACATATCGTGTACATGTCTATGTGAGTGCATATAATGGTACAAATATTCAAATGTCCTATATACACGAGGATGTAACTAACAGACTATTACAAAATCTAAGTGCGTTGATCTACATATCATGCTTTTTGAATAAATAGGTTTGTGTTAAGGTAAAATACTATTTTATATGGTAAATGCGACCCATCTGTGACTATAACTTATTGTTTTATTAATTGTGTTTATAAAGAGGTAACTACCAGGGCCAGAAACCATACAAGAGTGGTCAAGGCTGCAGTCAGTGTCCATCAGGATCTGGGGGATGTTCCAATGACGGGAGACTCTGTAGTAAGTAGAAGACAGAAATAATGTGAATGCCAATATTACTGGAATGTTTTATTATTTATTTATTTATTTATTGGACGAGGCTACAAGCACAATTTACAGAGACTATATAACTTTCACAATACAATGTCTTAGGATGATCGACCTTCGGTGTCGGTTTCATAGAAAACTATCTTATGTATTTTTTTTTTCGTTTTGTCTTTTAGTTTCCTCATACGAATGTACTATGAACCCATCAGCTTGTGGTGGTAAGTGCAACGTTTATATATATCATATTTTTAGTCACAAATGTGCTAACTCAGTCTAAAAGTGAATCAAGGAAATCCAACTCGGGTTTTCTAAAGAATTTCAAAGTAAGAAGAGTTTTTTATGGATAACGTGACAAGGAACAAAGCGAATCAGCATTCGCGAGGACGTATGGAATCCACGTAGACAACTTGCAAGTTACTGCCATCTGACGGTCGCAATAAAATACAGCTAGAGATCTAAACATCTCTTTTATAACTGATATGTTCCAAAGAGGCTATCGCGAAAAAAGTTCACAAGGAGTTGGCCCCTTTTAAGAGTGATAGTTGTACATAAGATCTTATTATCACTCATTTCTATAGGCCTATACCTGAATTTTAAACCAGCAAGGATTTATCCTAACAGTGGCGGATTTGGCGGTGTCAGGGAGGTCCTGATCCCCCATTTGATTTCTGAAAAAAATCACACCAATGGTCCCATCTTGAAATTAGAATGTTGACTAGCTGAATTATAATTCTAAAACGCACCAAATGGCAGTGTTCGCCTTCTAAAATAACAGAAAATTTCGGGTCCCTTCACCCGAACCCCACGCCAGGGGTGGGGGTGGGGGGGGGGTTGGCTTTTTATCCACGGACCCCCCCCCCCTTTTTAAATAATCCTGGATCCGCCCATGCCTAATAGTACATATACATGAAAATGAATGATTTTCACGTTCTCACGACATACTTTTTTAATTTGAGAATGTTTGAGCAAACGTTATAAACCTCTAGCGCTCAAGTGGATCTTAATTGACTCCATATATTGTGTCCTATTAGTATAATACAAATACTGCACTTATGTAATTACAGGTGGTGGATGCAACAAACAATGTGTGAATGGAAACCTCAATACTCAAACTTGTACGTGTATCTGCAACCAGGGTTGGACTGGGACTTTGTGTGACCAACGTAAGTATATGTGATATTCTTTGGGATACATGCCATGAAGTGTAAACGTTTTAAGACCCATCTACACGCCCTATTATTGGCATCCCCCGAAAGATCTTCCAAGTATTGTTAATCATTTTCACAACTTATCACATAATGTATAATGAAGTGCTTGCATAACCATTTATTTACTGTTTACTTTAACAATATGAAACACTATTTTTTGTGTTTGTAAAGATTTACCGTTGCATCTCTTCGTAATTTACCTTTTCAGAGGTCTGTACCAAAAACTGCGGTGTGAACGGATATCTCAATTCTCAAAGTTGTACGTGTATCTGCAATCAGGGTTGGACCGGAACTTTGTGTGACCAGCGTAAGTATATGTGATATTCTTTGTGATTATTTTCATAAAGTGCTATCTTTTTTGTCATCCACTCACATTACGGTTGCGGCATGTATTTCGTACTGGCTGTCACAGTTTTTGACTTAACTTTTAACCTGTAACTTTTAAGTCTTTTAATCAACTTCGCAACTTATCGTTCAGTTATGAAATGTGTTCTTGTCCATTTATCTTTTAATTACTCGATACATTTGAGAAGATGTCTATGGGCTCATTTCCTATGAAATTAAAGTTCATTATACGTAGATAGATACAAATCCGCGGGGACCCTTGCTGAATACAATCAGATTAACATATTATCAAGCCCACTCCTGACGTAAAGTTGAATGCGTAAAATGTGAGAATCGATCTGCGTAGAACAACAGTTTCATTGGAAATGACCCCTTTTAGTTTGAAAAGACTGACCGTTACATTTTTTTCTTAAATTTATCTTTTTCAGCGGTTGGGGGTGGTTGTACCAAAAATTGTGGTGCGAACGGATACCTCAACACTCAAACGTGTACGTGTATCTGCAACCAGGGTTGGACTGGGACTTTGTGTGACCAACGTAAGTGGTATTCTTTGAGACCCCTGTTATAAAGTTTGAACGTTTAAGCATCCATCGGTTCTACATCTACAGCTTGTATTTTTTACAGATGTTGAATAAACATTTATTATTTTATATTTTGAAGTTTCTTTGCCATTTTTAAGACTTATCACTCAATTATAAAATCTTTTTGTTAAATCAGTGACTAAAGTTCATTTTTATTTTACTTTATACCTTTGAAAAGTCAGCATGTTGTTAAAAAAGATACATTGTCGCATTTCATTCAAAAGTTACCTTTTTTCAGAGGTCTGCAACAAAAACTGCGGTGCGAACGGATACCTCAACACTCAAACTTGTACGTGTATCTGCAACCAGGGTTGGACCGGAACTTTGTGTGACCAGCGTAAGTGATGTTCTTTAAAATCCCTCGTCATAAAGTTTAAAGGTTTAAGCATTCACCTACGTTTTTGTATCTGGCTCTTCTGTTTACAACTGTTAAATAATCATTTATTCTTTTATACTTGTATTTTACTGCTTAACTCTCATTTATTCAATGTGTACGTTGTAGATCAGAATTATTTTAGTTCGTACATTTGAAATCAGCGTGTTGTTTTAAAAGATAAAATAGCCACATTTCATTCAAAACTCCCTTTTTCAGAGGTCTGCAATAAAAACTGTGGCGCGAACGGATACCTCAATTCGCAAACTTGTACGTGTATCTGCAACCAGGGATGGACCGGACCTCTATGTGACCAGCGTAAGTACATGTGATAACATTTGAGATGTATGTCACAAAGTGGAGCTGTTTGTTTTGTTATATAGAGGATGAACCTCACATTAATTTAAAACTGAATTTTTCAGAGACCTGTACCAAAAATTGCGGTGTGAACGGATATCTCAATTCTCAAACTTGTACGTGTATCTGTAACCAGGGTTGGACTGGGACTTTGTGTGACCAGCGTAAGTACATGTATATGTGATATTCTTTGGGGTCTATGTCGTGAAGTGTAAACACTGTTTGGCGTTGCTTTTGACAGTTCTTAAATAAACTTTTGACCTTCAACTTTTAAATTTGTTAATCAAGTTAAACAATTTCAGTTATTCAGTTATTAAATATGTGCATTTTCATTTATATTTTATCTTCTTTTTAAATTTGAGAAGACTTTTTTTGTTTGAGAAGATGGGCCGAAATTTCATCCAAAATTAACCTTTTTTCAGCGGTCGGGGGTGGTTGTACCAAAAACTGCGGTGCGAACGGATACCTTAATTCTCAAACTTGCACGTGTGTTTGCAACCAGGGATGGACTGGGACTTTGTGTGACCAACGTAAGTTGTATTTATTCTTTGTGATCATATGTCATGAAATGTTAACTTTTTAGATCAAGTTACGGTTCTGTATTGTACATGTGCATCGTCTTTTAAATCAGTTCTTGATTAATCTTGTGGCATGAATCATTTTATCTATTAAGTATGTAAGTATACCCATTTACGCCTTACTTGTAAGTTTGAGAAGTCATCGTTTTGTTTAAGAAGCTGAACCTTTACATTTCAATCGTTAATTGCCCCTGTATGTTGAAATTATCTACCAGTATCTGTCGTTGATTTCCATATTCATCGAAAAATTTAAATACTGATAAAGATATTAATCTTCTAGGATCATTTATAAATGAAATAGCTAATAAACTCTATTTAATCAAAGGATCCATAGTTTTTTAACCAATACATCCGAACAATATCTTTTATTACCGTTACGACAGAAGTTTTAACTGTTAAAACAATCACATATCTATTTAATAACAAATTAAGCCACAAATGTTTTTACAGGGGTGTGTAACAAGCAGTGCGTGTATGGCACCTTGGATAGCCAGTCTTGTACCTGCAACTGCTTCCCGAGGTGGGGAGGAGCTCTCTGCGACCAATGTAAGAGATTTTTGACACATTTATTATTGATTTATTTTTCTGGATATTTTGCGTCATTGTTTTGGAACAAAGGGGACAGCTTTTGCTCTCTGCGAGATACATCTTATTTTACATTGTCCTTTTCCCCTTAATGCTAGACTACTATCCTGGTGCATGTTACTACTCCACATTTTAAAACATTTTTCTTTATTCTATTTTATTGTTTTTTATTATTTTTTTATTCAATTCAAATTTATTTATTGGTCTTCTTTATTTTTTATCGATTTCTGTATTTGTTTATTTTATTTCTTTGGCACGCAGACATGCCAAAATAAGACCTTATAAAATTTACACTGGTTCGCGTTAATTTCAAGAAATATCACTTTGGCTTAAAATGCGTTTTTTCCATTCAGATTTAGGGGGTGGATGTAATAAACAATGCATACACGGCTACCTGGACTATCCAAGGTGTACTTGTGTGTGTCAAACCGGCTGGACGGGACCGACCTGTAACCAAAGTAAGTTTGGGATTATAACGAGATGTCCTGTGTGTGTGTGTGTGTGTGTGTGTGTGTGCTGTTAACTAACAATCAATAACATACATTGGCTTGACGGTTTGTTATGCTGTTTTAGCGCCAAATTTGACCTCGTATTTGACCTTGGATTATGTTTATATGTATAATGTTTATTCCTGTTGAGCTGTTGCATGTAACTTATATTTTGTCATGGCATTTTAAGGCATATTGTTATTAACGCTTTCTTATCTAACGATAGTTATGGTTAATAAACGTACATATATATTGTTAACATATGATTCCAGGAAAATCTTCAGCTTGTAACAAAGAATGCAAACATGGTTTTCTGAGAACATCTGACTGTAAATGTATATGCAACGATCTGTGGATGGGTGAACTTTGTGACAAGAGTGAGTTGATATAACAATGTAAAGAACTTTTTTTGAGGGGGGGGGGGTATTTTGGCAATAATACTTTGATCATTCAATTATCTTAAACTAAAATTGCGTCCAACGTTATTAAACCAATTCATGTTTAACACAATATTCATTATCAAATAGCTTTTCTGTTGTTTCATATTTTGCCATAACATTCTGAGTCTTGTTGGCTTTTCTTAACGCTTTATTCTTTATTTAAAGAAAGCCTTAATGCCTCATTACTGCATCTGCTAAGTCCCAGCAATCACAGAAAGTTCGTTATTATAACGTTATTTGGTTATATAAACGCTATGGTAATGTTAAGACGTTCTGTATTTGCTGGGGTAAAACTACTAAACGTACAGATATTTTAACACTTTTTAGGGGAATCTTCAGTGTGTACCAAAGAATGCAAACATGGTTTTCTGAGAACATCTGACTGTAAATGTATATGTGACGATCTTTGGACTGGTGAACTTTGTGACAAGAGTGAGTTGAAATAACAATTTACTGTGTAGAATTAGAATTTTTGTGCTTTCTTTTATTTGGCGATTAATATTTTTATTAATAGATATTTTTAACAAAATGCTATAATTGTATTAAGCTGTGTTTTTTTAATGCAATAGTCATTATTTATTTGCTTTTATGTTTCATTATTTGGAACAAAATTTCAAGATTTTTTTCTTTTCTCAGCAGTCTTTTCTACAAGCTTTTATTAATTAAACTAATAAAAGTTTTCTGCATCTGCTTATTTAAAATATTTCAATGCGTGTTTTAGGGGAATCTTCAGTGTGTAACAAAGAATGTCAACATGGCTTTTTGAGAACATCTGACTGTAAATGTATATGTGACGATCTGTGGACGGGTGAACTTTGTGACAGGAGTGAGTTGAATAACAATGTGTAGAACTTGATTAATTGATTAATATTTTACTTACTTAGTTATCTTTAGCAAAATTGCGTCCAACTGCATTATGTCAAATTTGGCTTAACATGTTAATAATTATTAATACGCTTTTTGTATTTTTTTGTAATAATATATATATAGACTTGTCTGTTTTTAACGCCTTTTTATCCAAGTTCAATTAATGAACAATTCCCTCATGACGGTATCTGCAAATTTAGGTAATACCACCTAAAATACAGATAGTTAAACGTATGTTTCCAGGAGAATTTTCAGCTTGTAACAAAGAATGCAAATATGGCTTTTTGAGAACATCTGACTGTAAATGTGTATGTGACGACTTGTGGACCGGTGAACTTTGTGACAGGAGTGAGTTTAAATGTGTAGAATTTTTGTGCTTTCTTTTATTTGGCGATTTATAATTTTGTTCATAGATATTTCTAACAAAGTGCTATGTTTGTATTAAGCTAAGTTTTGTTTAACACAATAGTCATTATTTTGTTGCTTTTATGTTTCATAATTTGGAACAAAATTGCAAGACGTTTACTTTTCTTAACGGGCTTTTTACAAGCTTTTATTAATTCAGCTAAAAAAGTTCCCTGCATCTGCTTATTTAAAATATTTCAACATGTGTTTTAGGGGAATCTACAGCTTGTAACAAAGAATGTCAACACGGCTTTCTGAGAACATCTGACTGTAAATGTATATGTGACGATCTCTGGACGGGTGAACTTTGTGACAGGAGTGAGTTGAAATAGCAAGGCGTAAAACTTTTGTATTTCTTTTTTACTTTTGATGTTTTGCTCATTTAAAATGTGTCTAATTGTATTATGCCAATTTTTGCTTGACATGTTTGTTTGTCGTTATATTAATAAGCTTTTGCATTGACTAATGACATTTCAAGGCTTGTTTGTTTTTTAACGCTCTTTAATCAAGCTTTGTTAATTCATTTAATCAAAAATTGCTTTATGTCAGCAACTCCTAATTTATGTATTACTACCAAACATACAGATATTTCAACACGTCTTTTAGGAGAATCTTCAGTCTGTAACAAAGAATGTCAACACGGCTTTCTGAGAACATCTGACTGTAAATGTATATGTGACGATCTGTGGACGGGTGAACTTTGTGACAAGAGTGAGTTGAAATAATGAGTAGAACTTTGTGCTTCCTTTTGTTTGGCGATTAATATTTTGCTTATATAATTGTTTTAAACAAACAAGCGTCTAATTGAATCAAACCTTTTCTTGTTTAATATATTAGTAATACTTTTTGTAGCTTTCTATAGTTCTTTTTTTGTAATTGATATTTGAGCCTCGTTTGCATTACTTGACGCTTTCTAATCAAGATTTTGATATTACAACTTAAAGGCAGTCTCCTCATTTCAGCATCTAACATTTTAAATTACACTAGTTGACGTACAAATATTATTAACACGTTTCAGGGGAATCTTCAGCTTGTTACAAAGAATGCAAATATGGCTTTCTTAGAACATCTGACTGTACATGTATATGTGACGATTTGTGGACGGGTGAACTTTGTGACAGGAGTGAGTTGAAATAATAGCGTGTAGAACTTGAGCATATTTGGGTGATTAATATTGTGCTCATTCAATTATCTTTAACAAAAAATACGTCTACTTGTATAATGCCAAAATTTGCTTGAGATATTAGTCATAATTAATATGCTTTTGATATTTTGTATAAAATATAGAGACTTGTCTGTTTTAACGCTTTTTATCAAATTTCAATTAATAAAAACTTCTCGCATGACAGCATCTGCAAATTGATGTAATGCCACCTAAAATACAGCTGTTTTAACACGTTTCCAGGCGAATCTTCAGCTTGTAACAAAGAATGTCAACACGGCTTTCTGAGAACATCTGACTGTAAATGTATATGTGACGATCTGTGGACGGGTGAACTTTGTGACAAGAGTGAGTTGAAATAATAAGTAGAACTTTGTGTGCTCTCTTTTGATTGGCGATTAATATTTTGCTTATTTAATTATCTTAAACTAAAATGCGCATAATTGAATTATGGCATTTCTTGCTAAATATATTAGTCATATTTTTTAGCTTTTCTTGGTTCATTTTTTTTTTTTTTTTTGTAATTGAATTTGAGACTTCTTTGCTTTACGTAATGCTTTCTAATCAAGGTTTTGATATTTCAACTTAAAAGCAGCCTCCTCATTTCAGCATCTAATAATATAAGCTATTCTTCTTAACATACAAATATCATTAATATGCGTTTTATAGGGGAATCTTCATTATGTACCAGAGAATGCAAATATGGCTTTCTGAGAACATCTGACTGCAAATGTATATGTGACGATCTCTGGACTGGTGAACTTTGTGACAAGAGTGAGTTATAATATCACCAGTTTGATATAACAAGCCATCAAATACTTTCTGAATGCTAACGTAATGAATATCCGTCAACACATTCACATATTTACATATACATGCACGCACTCCCCCCTCCCCTCCACACACACGCATACTTCTATAATGTCTGTCGCACGCACAATCACTGCTATGGAGTGGTCGTAAAAATAACTTGGATTTCAGTTATTTTTTATTTACTTCCATTCATTTGCAATTATCATTTATTTATTTATTTATTTATGCGTTCACAGGTCTAACTCAAAATGCATGCCTTGCGAGCTAACTTACAACTAAGCATAATCTACAGGTATTTATAGTCACTCGCGTGATTAATGCCATCACATTAGTGTTTTTATAACACTAATTGTAAACGGTGCTTTGTTACAGGGGAATCGCAGAATACTAGTGACTGCAGAAAGGAATGCCAACATGGCTGGCTAAGACCGTCTGACTGTACATGTGTTTGTGATGACCTTTGGTCCGGCGAGCTATGTGATATGTGTAAGCTTTGCGTGACCCCGAGTGATGAAGATAGCTCCTCAGAGCTACATGTATACATGTGCATAAATGCTTTAATTCGCTGTACTCAGGACACTAACATAACGTTTAGTTAACTTTGGTTTTGATTTCGATTTAGCACATTTGCGCTGTTGTTTAATTTCTTTAATGTTTAAACTGCCTTTCATTATGTCTTGCTTAAAAGTGTGGGAGTCGATGGAAGGCTTTCAAAGAAAATCTGAATGTTTCAGCTGATTCAACTCCCTGCAATAAGACGTGTGGAGCCCATGGTTGGCTCCGGATCTCCGACTGCGCATGCGTGTGTGATGACCTGTGGAATGGTGTACTATGCGACAGGTGTAAGCATAGCTTATGTGGTTTTAACGATATGGGGCAAATTTAACGCAGGCAAATGCGATAAAACGCTTATTTAACTAGCTCACGTTATTTTTTTCATTACTAAAAGCATAACTGCCTTCATTGGCTTGTGTTTTACAAAAGTCGTGCACAGGCTTTGATTTAATTTTGTTTTTGTAAAGATTTGAATATGTATTAGATTGCTAACATAGGCAGAATTGTTTTAACGCCATGATTGTGCTATGTAAAATGCTTCTTATACTTACGTATTGTCTTATTTCTCACCAACCAAAAAGAGTAAGTGTCAATTACCTGTGAAACGGTAGACATTGCCTCCTCAGTCAAAAACTGCATTGCAACTATGTCCAAAAACAGAAGCACTAACGACAGCAGTAACTGAATTATTTTTGTGTTTCAGGCAGGAGTGAAATTACCTCAGGGATAAACCGGTGTATATCATGAATCATATACACGTTTTCTTATTAGTGGCTGTCTGAGACCCGTTTCCAATTCAGACGAGTGTCCCACCCGGTACCTCTACGGTACGAGCCTGGTTCTCCCAGGGTGTTTAATATTTATAGATCACGCGTGATTGTCTCATATTATTTCCTCTTTGCTTACAGGGGAGTGTCCGAACCAATGTGTACGTGGCACACAACGGCCAGACTGCAGTTGTCAATGTCCACCCGGATGGACAGGGCTTGATTGCAATACCCCAAGTACCAGTGAGTATCGAACATGTGGAGGGTGTTTTAAAAACCTTGACAAATTTTGCAAAAAAAAAAGATCGAGTGCAAATTTTTATTTACTTTGAAATATCTTTAATCGGATATGCACGCAGTTGCAAACCAATAAATATATTATGTTTTTAGTGTGTCAGAAGAACTGCGGTCCACATGGAACCTTGCACGTGCCAAGCTGCACGTGTCGCTGCGAGCCTGGTTGGAGAGGAGCGCTCTGCACTCAACGTGAGTTGACGACAATACATCAGATGTGTTGTCTTTTACTGTATAAATAACTTGGATTAAGGTCTGTTTTCGAGATTAATTCGCACTAAAATGGATGATTAATTATTTCTTGATTAATTTCACATCGCATTGGTCGTCCGAAGTAGACTGGATTTGTGTGAACGACGTGTATTCTTTTACACACATACAGGGTACATTTACGTACACACACTAACACACACTCACACTTCAGTCTCACCTACATATGTAGCAGAAAATGTGACTTCACCCGTGTATTTGATGCTAAATGAATTGTTCTTCCAGAATTAGGAGTGTGCACCAAAACGTGTATGAATGGCGTCGTGAACCCTGCCACGTGCACCTGTCTCTGCTACCCCGGATGGACCGGTCCCACGTGCTCCCAACGTGAGTGAAACTAACAAAACGTTCAGATGTTCAAAGCACGTGCACAATAAAAGCAAAATATACCCACAAGTGAAAAGTATTCACCTCATGTGTGCCTTATGATAGTTTAAGATTAGAGAAAATATGAAGATTTTTTTCAATTCAGGAGGCTGCAACAAGAATTGTGTCAATGGTCAGCTGCAGCCTGATTGCACTTGTTCATGTCGCCCGGGATGGACTGGAGATCTGTGTGACCAACGTAAGAAAAGCACACCCCTCCCTCCCTCCCCCTCTTTTTATCTCACGTTTTGGTACTTTCCTACAGTCTCTCTGTCAAACACATCAACCACGCGACCTTGCGCGCATGCGCTCTGATGTCGAGATTGTTTCCCTTCCTCACTTATAGCCAACGTTTCTCATTCCCTCTCTCTACGTTTCTCTCTGATGCATATTAAGTAGTACACAAAATTGAAATCAAGATGGAATTATTGTGATCTGTCGAGATGCATGTATTACATAGAAATGAAAAGAGCATGTAAGAATATAATTTACTCTTATTCCCAGCCCTGAAATTGTTAACATTTTGAAATTGTCATCATTTTGAATTTGTCAACACGTTGTTAGGAACTCACTTTTATTTTACACAAATGTTCAGCCCTGGGCTCCGGTTGTAATAAACAGTGCTATAACGGCGGGGTCCTGAACCAGAATACGTGTGAATGTATATGTCCGCCCGGATGTGATGGAGCCTTATGTCAATTTGGTATGTTTCTTTAGTTATCTTCTTTTGAATATTGGTTTTCCTGTTGTATCTAAAAGAATAACATTTTTTATTTGGATTTTGTTTTAATATTTATTGAAATATTTTACAAGATCAGCTGCATTGTGATTTTTTATTATTTTTTAAAGAAAATGTGCGATATACAATGTGGCATTGTATTTTTATATTTTACACATGCCTCTAATGTCTATTTGCAATTTTTTTCTTTAAAAAGTCAATTTTACATGCAGAAAAATAAAATGATATCAGGATGACGGGTTTCTTCAACAGACTTAAATGCACTATTTTATTATTTCAGTTAATGACATATGTCATCGAACATGTCAAAATGGCGGAACCTTCGTCCCCGTTTTGTGCAAGTGTCACTGTCCCAGAGAATACACGGGAGAACTTTGTGAAAATCATATAGGTACGTAAAATACCGAAAATAGACCAAAGACTAACGAATACTCGAGTGCACTAGAATCTTTTAGATCTTTTAGATGGTATAACTTATTACAATGATTAAAAAGAACTTTGAATTTGAATTAAGTATAGGGGTCAGTTTACGCTTATTCCCAGACCTGATATGATTTAAATCATTTTAAAAAAATATTAAGAGGCTGGTTTGTTATACGCAATGACTTCTAGCTTGTTTGGAAATTAAACTCAACGTTTCAGTTGTATAGAAAGAGATAATGTTAAAACTATGCTAGGTATATGTTATGTAGGAAAACAAAAGCGCCACATTTCAGCTTAGAAAAAAACATGTGGACAGTGAAAACGTATACGTAGAAATTTAGAAATTCATGAGCCTACCTGCAATATACCGATGGTGTAAATACTAAAATATTGCTGGTGTAGATACTACGAGGTACCTGCCCGAGATAATATGAAACGTGTACTCTTCTATTTAAACGACTGAAAAACGTGCATTAAAAGTGGCATTATAATGTTGCATAAATGGTGGCTCACTGTAATAATTTGAAGAATCAATTTCCCGTCGTTAATTCAGACATTTTGATAGGGTGATTTTATTTATCTTTGGCTACCGAAAACTTGTTTGAACTTTAGGCAATAGCATTGAATTGAGATTTCATTTCAAACCATGCTGTTACAGGTCCCTTCAAATTCATATTGGTTTAAAGGCTGATGACACTCAACAGAGAATTTTTCCCTGAGGGCGTGGCAAAGAGTAGGTGCAGGATTGGTGATTTTGCCTGAAATCATGGCGATCTGCTGCCAAGAAAAGCCTGAATACTTCTGGAGGCAGACAGAACTCTTGGCGAAGCGTGCATCATAAAGTAGAATACAAACTCTGTGCGTGGGTACGTGTGTGCGTGTGTGTGTCGGCTCGTGCGCGATATTATATTCCCTTTACCTTGTTACATTTTTACATTTAAAGAGATGAAATTTAAACGATGACTTGTATTATGCATTGCTTGAAATGTGCTGGAAGCCATAGCTCTGCAAAATGTTGTTACCTTTCAACCCATTTTAGAGTGACCTTTACACACATACACGACCTTGACCTACCATGGTTAACAAACTTGTGTCCTTTTATTTAATAACTATAATTTTATTCAGTTGTTAACTGCTTTACTGTCAATGGATATATTTTATTAGTTTGATGTGTGTTTTATAAGATCACTAACCTCACTTTTGTATATATTTTGATAAAGATTTGACTTCCACATACATTATTTTACCCTTAGTTAGATACATGTACGACATTTTCTGTATGCAATACTCAACGGTAGTTAGAAAATTGATTAAAGTTCATTTCTGTGAAAATAAAGTTGAAATTGTATTTGAATGTGTTTTGGTCCTTTTTCGAGTTTCACTTAGGAATTTTAGCAAGATCTTGACCTCTGATGACTTCCATGTTATTTTCAAATTAATGTTCATACCTTAATTTATTCATTGGGAAACTTGCCTGTTACAAGTTTCTTATTTGTTACCAGTTGTAATATACCCAGCAAAAATGCACTTTCACGTTTTCTCATTAACTTTTGAACGGTTGGCCATCTCTTGAAACTAGAGTCTTTGCACGAGTTTGTGCGTTCGGTTTCGTACCGTACATAAATGCAACGCATGCGCGCGTTTGTGTGCACACGAGAGTGCATTTTTACGCCTGTGGGTCTTGTCTATAGTTTCTGTTTTGTCTCTTTGACCTCTTATACAGTGAAGGGAATGGCTGGGTAACCGTTAGCGTGTGCGCTTTTGTTTTGACACTGATCTATTAATTGGTGAGTGAAAATTCAAACACGCTCGCGCACAGTGCACACGTGCTCTCTCTCTCTCTCTCTCTCTCTCTCTCATGCCCACGCAAACTCACGTTCTCTTCCTCTCTCATACTAACGCAACTCACACATATACAGACTTACACACACAAATACGAAAACACTAGCGCATGAAGAGGTCCTGACAGAGAAATACAGTACATATTCCACTCTTGTCCGATATTGAGTTTTTCACTAAGATGCATAAATAATAGCCCTTCTGTTACCGTTCTTTTACATATCATTCTAAAACATCCCTATGATAACAAAGCATGCATTTGGTCCAATATTACCAAAGTTTAAACATCGAATTTATTTCCACATTTACTGTGCTTATAATATCACTGGCAACGAAAACTGTTTACAGTTAGACTCTACAGTAATAAACCATATTAGAATAAAAAGCAGCCACAAGGCATCTATTTAAAAAAAAATGAGCAATGATTAGGTCGTTTAAAAACGATTATTTAAATGGGATTACTGTTGTGTACAGCACATCTTTGTAAGTAATGGGTTTGTCCCAAGAAGCCGTCTACCATAGATGATTTTTGCAGCTATCTATCGCAGTTATGCCACTCATGACGTGCTCTAAATAAGGCAGATGTAGTAATAAAAGTTTATTTACTCGAGACCGCACAAACTCAACACCGTGTGGCTGGGCTTGGTAATCTTGCGTGTTGTGCATTGTAGGATGCAAACTTTACACTGTGAGATGTTCGCTCTCGTTGCCTCCACGTCACTATATATACTTATAGCAGTGCTAACTTGGGAACTACCATTTGTTGAAAAGGGGGTAGGTAATTTTATATAGTGTTTGTGTGTGTGTGTGTGTGTGTGTGTGTGTTTGTGTGTGTGTTGGGGGTTCAAAACATATGATTATGAGGCTTCGTGATAGAATTATTATGTAACTTCAGACGTTGTTTTAAAGGTAATGCATTTTTGCTTTTTATTCCTGTTGAAACCGTCTTAAAATAGCCACATACCCGGTACATATCCGACAATACTGCCTCTAAATTCAAATACAAACCAGGCCTACCCAACTACCAGACTCGGCACCTAAGGATCCTGAAATAACCAGTATATCGGACCACACTACCCGTTTTCAAGGTGTGTGTCAGATCGCATTTCGGAGTATCAGTCAGAACACCGACAGGATGAGCCCACGCTCGGCTGTCACCTTGATTGGATAGTAAACGATTGTCGTAAAATCGCTATATGATTTTAAAACCGGGTGTATAAATTTGAAAGCCACCTTGAACAACCTTAGACTGCCACATTAATCTAATACAATGCAAAAAAAGCCCTATCAAAAGTGGTTAAAACATTCAAACCGAATGTCGTAAAGTCCCCACATACCCCCATAGAGACAATAACATAGGGTACTCTAAAGTAAGAGTACAGTTTAAAGTTGTTCAGCCGAGCGTGGATGAACCCGCAGTCGTCCTACAAAATTTGTTCTGGGGTATGATACTCCGAAATGCGTTCTGACACACACCTTGAAAACGGGTAGTGTGGTCCGATATACCGGTTAATTCAGGATCCGTAGGTGCCTACTCTGGTAGTTGGGTACTATTTCAAATGATAAAGAACTTCATGGAAGATCCCATTGTTTTTTAAGTTGTGTTTTTTTTCTGCACAGATGAACCTTTCAAATTATATATCCCTAAAATAAAGGGTTTAACACGGACATAAGACACAGGACGACAGAAAGTGATGGGTACTCATTCTTTTCACTGTCGTTTTCTTCCCAAATACTGCCAAATTTAATTGTGAACACCGTGTCCTGTTTCATGCCTAAACCGCAAACTATCAGGCCCCCGTTTCACAAACAAAATAATAAGATATATAGCTAGATGAATAGATTGATAGAAGGATAGATGGATAGAAGGGTGAACGGATAGACAGAATGAAAAATGAAGTATTAGAAGAGAACTTTTATAAACTTCAAAGAAAACAATAACAACACTTTACTGTTTAAATTCTACAATTTATTGCCGCATAAATTTGGATATTTTTTTTCGAAATGAAAGCAAAGGGAATTTGAAACCAATTTCTACATGGTTAAAACGTCGATTGCATATTATTTGCTAGTTAATTTTTTAAGACGACATGACTTAAATCGACGAGATATCAGGGCACTACTACATGAAGCACATGTCTGTGATTTATTTATTAGACACATTTTGGGTTGCATGGGCAGAGCTATGGGCAAATGAAGCGGACTTCGTAATCTTTGCAAGTCTCCCCACTCGGCTGGTCGGCGTTCACGCAGACGAATCCCTCAGAGGGCGTGCACTTGGTCCTGATCACCTGACCCGCTTGGTCCCAAGGCTGATTGGTTCCCTTGACGCGGCACTCGATCTTGATTGGATCGTTGTTGGAGCACTGAAAATAAATGATAAGTTTATTAAAGCAAATTGCGATACCATTAACAAAAAAGTGACACGATTTTGTTGACAGTCATGGCTCCATATTGGAATGCTCCGTACATTTTCAACGCTGTCTGAAATTAACAGCATTTAAAGAAACTGTATTAGCAGTTACACAATAAGTTCAAACATATAAAAGATATAAAAGAGTACAAGATAATTAAGTTAAATACAAGGCAATGAAGCTTACGGTTATTAGAATAACAGACCGGAATTTAAAGCTATTCTACTACTATATAATTTCAAACACTCCACGTACAGGATTAAATCCGGTTTTCCCAACATGTTCCCAGTCCCCAGTACCGCTGGGGTCGTCTCTGTCTAACCAGGATGTCCACGTAGTGCCTGTGGGATCAAATATACTTTGATGTTTTTAATCATCAAATACAATTTAATGATATCAAGATATCAATCAACATATTTTTTATTTATTTTATTCGACTAAATTAATGACCGAGGATTTGGTTTGATGTAAATATGAACGTGCATTTGACACATATCTTTGACATTATTTCCTCATTTCCTAGTTAATTTATTTATCAATGACTAGGAAAATTAATTTAAAAATAACGGTGATCGGGGCATTTCTGTTGGATATATTGAATTGTGCAGTTTGTTATTTGCTGATGATTTGGTTTTGTTTTCTGATACGGCAATAAGCATGCAAAGAAAGATCAACAAGTTGGAATAATATTGTAAGAGATGGAAATTGAAAGTCAGTATGTCTAAAACTAAAATGGTGATTTTAAGGAGAGGGGGATATTTAAGGAAAAATGAAAAAAGGAAATGTTCAGGGAAACAAATAGAGGTTACACTAGGCTATCAGTACCGGGGTAACTAAAGGGGGTTGGAATAAGGTACAAAAGAATTTAGCTGAACAAGCTTTATTCAAGGCTTTATTTATCCTGCAAAAACCTTTGAGTGCATTTGGTGAAATTAAGGTTGATTGCTAGTTAAACATTTTTGATACAAAGATTGTTCCTATTTTAAACTATGGGTATTTTAAACTATGGGTTTTTCATCTTGGACAAGATGGGGAAATTGTACAGAATAACTTCTGCAAATTGTTATTGCAATTAGAAAGAAATGCACCTATCGTAGCGGCAAGGGTTGAATTAGGCAGAGATTCTTTAAGGGTCGGGTGAAAATAATAAAGTACTGGCTCAAGCTCATAAATGCACCTGAAAATACAGTATAGGTTTAATAAAGCGTGTTACATGTGGCAGTATAATATGGCAGAAAACGATAAGGATTGTTGGGGATTACAAGTAAAGAAACTGTTATATGGATATGGTTTTGGAATAGCCTGGATAAATCAATGGGGGACCGTGAAAGTACATTTATAAAGGGTTTTAATCAAAGGTGCATGGATATTATTGACTTCCAGTCGTGACGAAATGTTTAACAATGTAAAACTAGATGTATATAAGTTAATTAAACATGATCTTATTATAGAGTCTTACGTTACAGTATTTGCTAAAGCTAGCTGTATATCAGTTTAAGCTCGATGTTCGAATCATCAAGTTGAAATTGAAAAAGGTGCACACAGTGGTAAGTCTAGGTATCAGAGAATTTGTCAGTGTTGAAATTGAGAGGTAGTCGAATGCAAAAGACTCTTCTTGTTAGAATGTCCTCCATTTAGCGACTTGAGGGTAAATTTATTATCGGATAGTTGCCTACTTGTAATTAAGAACTGGGTTCGCGTGAAATATTTATCAGATTGATGAAATCAATGAATATTAGAGTTTTCAGGAATATTGCGAATTGTTTGACAAAAGCAGAAATGAAAAGAAAGCCGCTATTAGAGGGGGATGTATCATGAAATGCGCATGAAAATGAATGAAATGAATTATCATCAAATCATTGTAAAAAGGCCGGAGGCCTTAAGTAGAGAATGAACTACTATTATTGATTAACTTTCCTAATGTAGCACAGCACAATTACAACCGCCAGTGACACAACTAACACAATCTTCCATATACATACTGGTAGACGGACACTTGTATCTTATCTCATAGTCTTTGCAGATTACGGGGTTGTCGGCGTTGCGGCAGGCCAGGCCCTTAGAGGGCAGGCAGTGGTACAAAAGTTTGTCCGGAGCTGTACCGGCCCAGCGAGTGAACACAGTGTTGGTTCCCTTAACACGGCACTCTGCAGCTATGGGGTTGCAATTAACTCCACACACTTCCCCTAATGCCTGTTACACATAGACAAAGTATGCATGTATATACTAGTATTGCTGACTATCAAACCTAATGATTTGCACTACTGGTGGTATGTAGTGTTTGGAATATGGGTAGATGGAAAATTGATATTGCAGTTTTCAGATACATAAGACTGAGCTCAAAATTAAAGGACTGATGCCATTTAAATTACATGGTATTTAACATCACCATACAATATACCGTTCTAGGATTTTACCCACCAACACCACCATCATAAGAAAACTAAACTTTTTGACTATAGGCGGGTAAAGCGTCAAATACCATAAGCAATGGCAAAATAACCCAATACTAGTAACATTTGTTTCACCTTTTGGTCAGATAAAGTTTCCCAATCTCCAGTCCCTGATGGGTCGTCGCGGTCAAACCAGCTGGTCCAGTAGTGTCCTAAAAGAAAAGCAAAACAATATATGGATTGTGGCTGTTATCAACGGTAAAAAGAAATGTATTTTTTCAAAAGATACTGCTCTTCTCCAGAACCCGATGAGACAGGAACGATAGTCCTAGGAATGGAAGTCCGGGTTCCCAAATGATTAGTATTGGGGTTAGTATATGGACGAATGTCACCTGTACAATGTAATGGGGACCGGACAACGGTTCCTAGAGGACCTCCATTCCTGTCATACCGGTCGACAGACGGTGGTACATTGAAGTTTTACATTAAAATATATCATAATTTGGAACTAAGCATGAAAACGATTTCTTTCGGTATTTTAATGATTCACTACAAGGCTTAAAAGTATCTTTGTCAAAAAAATTGTTTTATTTCCAAGGAGCATAAGCATCTTACATGTATCCACCACCGCCCGTGATTTATCAACTTATTTTATACTACTTATGTAAAATCAATCAAATAGTAAATTGTACTAAAAAAGAAGAAAAGAATGTTAAAATCTATATCACGTCCTGTCTGATTATTTTACAATATACGTCGATCACATTTATATAAGGCGGGTAAAGGCATGTGTGCTAGAAAATAAACAAATCATATCAATCTGTAAAAAGCGGTCGTATGGGTTTGTGATAAAACATTCATAATTATATTTAAATACTTGATCTTGTCGTTCATTTCACACGTTACTGCAGCTGATACAATTTTAAGGTTATAAATTTAGGATACATTTGTTGTAGAATGACAAAATATCTAGGTGTTCATTAGATAAAAAAAACAGCATTTCACTGACATCAACGAAATGTGCTTTAATTTTTATCTCTCAATGAATTTTTCTTATTAAAAAGGTTTCTGTAATGCATGCTTTTTTATCCCGCCATCACAAGGTTTTGAAATACTTGATTTATCTTATGAAGATATTTAATCATACCGGTATACTACTAATGTACATTTACTTTTCAAAAACTAAAATCACGAGAACGGTTCATGACAAAGCGGTGCAATTGAAAAAAAAAAAGAATGCAATTACCTTGAACCTGAACTACCAACAGGATGCAATATATCGCAAAGATACCTTCCATGTTGTTGCTGAAACGAAAAAAAAAAAACATTGCATTGTTAACCTTACTTACACACTTCATTTAAAGTATATTTTACTGTGTATTCTTAATGGGATTCATAAGCATACAAGACACAGCAGTTGCTTGGCCAGACCGTTTTCTTCTTCAGTTCAGCAACGTATACTTTTGCATATCATTCAACCAAAGAAAAAAACCGTTACTTGCACTGAACACACATTAAGCCAAATATGTAGAAAACGGTGCACCAGATCTCCACGTCAAATTTTCTGGTTTTTGCGCGGTGCTGTAGCGCGGTGTCCTTTTCTGCAGCAAGCTACTAAAGGGAGTCTGTCACAAAACCCGTTCCACGGGGTTTTAAAGATACGCCTTTGCCCTCGTTACGTCACAAAGAAAAAAAAGCAACGGCTTTGTAAATTTTGCAAAATTTAATATATTCACACATTGACTGTTGTCTTAAATAAACTCCACAAACAACTTTATTCCCTGCTAAGCATCCAGAGGTACCTATTAGCTATATAGGCGATACTATATACTCGTACAATTTTTATAGAAAAATTATATAGAAATTCTAGGTATTTTAGACATATAATCAAATTGTCTCTCTTTATTTTGTTACAAAAGGGAATATAGATGTTTACTGTGCCATATTTTGAAAACACGCTTATATCAAAAAATGTTCCAGGCGTGACACGGCCATTACATCCTCTATCCAAACAAAAGAGGACCCTCATCGATGAATGCGGTATAACCGTGTAACCACACCTAAACTCGTCTCTGTCCTTCTGGTAATACTAAAAAACATACCAGGGAGCAAAGTCATCTATAAGCCATAACGTTTATGGACTTCAGCGATTCTACCCTCTCTTGATTTCGTCACAATAACAAAATGATTTCCAGTTAACATTTGCAAACGTGGATCAGGATTTGTGCTTGCTTCGCCGTTTTTAAATATTCTAACATATCACCTTCGAAACAGCTATATTTTCTTTTTAACTGTTTACAAATATTCTTATAACGTGATTTTTTTGTCCTAACCGAAACACTAAGGGTGCATTCCCAGAGATTTGGATAGATCCAGAGATTAAGATTTAGATCGACCTAACTCCCTGGGGGTTCACGCTAAATTGCACTCAGTCGAGAGCGCACCATAGTTGATTACCCCCTTACGGGACAGACGCTTAAGCCGGCTAAGCTGACAGTAATCAAGTGAGACTCCCCACAGGGATAGATCGATCTAAAATCTATGGGAATGGGGTCTAATTCTGAGTTCAATACCTGTCTTATGTGCATCGTTATCTGGTAGCGCATTTTGTTTTAAAGGCCCACTAACCAGGACAAACGTGATTGGTGCATGATGAGAAAAAGTGTTGAATGTGCCCAATGAAAACCTCGCAATATTAGTAAAAGATTTGGATTCAGCTAGCAAATAGTCTTTTGTTCTCTGTCCGTTTGAGTTACAAAAGGTAAAACTCGCAGTTACATCATCTCTATGCCTGTCATTGATTATTCTTACACCCACTGTCTTACATTAGGAAAGTAATTTACGACAAATTGGTTAACCACATTGGTTGCATTTCTCCTCTTGCATAACATATTATCCATCGTGTAAGTCATTACCGGTGTCACGTGTACAGTCCGTTCTGCGTGAACCATCCGTCCTGACCGATTGTACACGGTATGATTGTACACGTGTATGAACCGTTCCGTGAAAGATCCGTTGTTATTCACCTTTACTGTTATACTCGGCTACAGATTGATTGGCTTGTTCGTTTCCCACATCATATATATATATATATATATATATATATATATATATATATATATATATATATATATATATATATGTCACAGGCCCAGTCCTAACCTAGTCCTATGTCTAGGAGGTCCACACACCATCCTAATTAGGGCCCGTCTGGGTCTAGTCTTAATGGTGTCTTTGCATTGTTAACAGCATAATGGGCAAGTTAATGGAGGGTACCGGAGGAGAGAGGATTGTACCGGGCGTGACTTGTAGTGGTGTAAGACGTGAAGCTGAGTGGTCATTTTTAGCTGGAGGTGAACGGAAGGGAAGACGTGGGCTCAGAGAAAAAAGCAGTTTTTCCAACAACATAGTGAGATAACATTTTTTCTTTTGGTATTTTGGGCAGAAATACTTCTAGGGATAATAGGTACATGACATGAAAACATGTTACGATACTTGAAAGTGCAACAGACACTAACGCTCGTGCGCAACATAGCGAACCTTTCGAGATACGGAGCCCAGACTCCCTATCTTGCGATTGAGCAGAAAATGTATCAACGCTATCCTGTGGTTGCATTGAAAGGACCATAGCCATGGGTAAGTTTTTTTATCCGCTTTGAACAAAATAAACTGATAATGTTTTGGAGGTGGGCCTTCAGGAATGCAAGTTGAATGTAACTGAAAAGTCTCTTTGTACCACAGTCTCTCGAAGTGCCAATTGTGAAACCTTTTTTTATAAAAATTAGACAACAATCGTGGCGCTCAAAGGATTAAGATACTAAATGACTTATTGTAACGAAAAGCTATTGTTAAAAAGAGGTGGTTTGGTTGTTGATTTATTAGTTAATATTACACTCATTCAGCAGATACTACCTCAGCAGTGAAAAAGATGAAAACATACATGAACGAACCAGTTGTTGAGCAACATGTAGAAAGTCCTGAGGATGTAGAGCGTCACGTGCAGGAACTGCAGACTGCTTGGACTAAGAAAAATTCGAACTCATGTAAAGGCGGTTGCTGAGGAGCACACGACCCCACCAAGTGGCACTCCTGAGTGAGGCTGATATGGGACTTGGTATTAAAACGACATCAACGAATAATCCATGCTTCAAAGAAAACACTTTGGTAAGTTTTTTAAGCTGCTCATAGCTTGTTTTGGACATGTCAAAATCCAGTGTCAAATAAAAGCTTTTTATATACTTACCTAAAGAAATCTTTTAGACTACAGTGTCAAAATAAAGAACTTGCTGCCAAACTTGTATGCCGGGTCTCGTCTCTCTGCTTCGACTGCTTGACCACCCTTGTTTCATGGTTTGATCCAACTTAGTCACATATTTAGCCACCATAAAGTTTGGCGCGTTAAGCTTTATACAGATAAAAAAGTACCTGTGTTGCTTGTGTTGATGCGCATTTTTACGGATATTGTTAGCCTAGAAGTTTCGCACTTTCTTTCAATAATCTGATTGTTTGTAATACGTTTTAAGAAAGTCAAGCTGATGCTCATGTAATGTGATTTAAGAAATTTTGTTCTCTTTCAAATAAATGCATTTTATTGAAGAACACCAAGTATTCTAGATTTCTTTCAGAATAACAAGTGTTCTAAGTTCCTTTTAGACCACATTTTAGTGTTCTCAAAAAGAAACATTTGAACACGTAAAAAGTGTTCTGAAATACATGTAATTGTGTTCTAAAACACAAACACAAAAAAGAACATAAAATGTGTTCTATATTTCACAACACTTACTGTTCTAGCGCCAGAACACTGTTTAAAGCGTTCTCAAAATGTAACATATGAACAGGTTAAAAGTGTTCTGAATTTAATGTAAAAGTGTTCTGAACAAAACACAAAAAATAACATAAAAATGTGTTCTATATTTCACAACGCGTAGTGTTCTAGCGCCAGAACACTGTTTAAAGCGTTCTCAAACTGTAACATTTGCACACTTAAAATGTGTTCGGTTTCATGTTTACGACGCGTTTCCCGAACTTTAGAGTATGGTTACAGCGACAACAGCAACAACAACAACACAATTACAACAACAATAGTGATATTAATAATGGGAATAAAGGGAAAACGAATTAATTAATTAATTCAAGGAATAAATCTTTGCGTGATCCGTAAGTACTTACCAACTCCAGTCTCTACCTTCTTTCACGCAGGGTCTCGATATCTACTGTACATGTAGTGTGCTCCTGTACCTGCACTTTTTATACACTTCACTCGAAAATGTACTCATGTAACAGAACACGACTTTATTTTAATTAGACGATGTTTTTTTCTTGTTTACCTCTACAGATATTAATGGACTCATGTAACAGAACACGTATTTATTTTAATTAGACAAGAAATCCATGATGAAAACCATGCAACATTTCCTTATTAGGAAATCCCTAAGAGACGTTTTTTAAATAAAAGATATCTAAAATATTATTTGGGTTAGTCATGCTTGGACCTTATCCAAAACTCGGTTATCATGTGATATACAGTTGATCAAAATTGAAATATGTTATGAAATTAACCAATCACATGAACTGTTACTGACTTTGACCTTTTCCATCTTTTTCTGACACTAAAAACATGTTCTGCACTTGTTGACTCTTGATGAAACTTAACTTAATTAATTAAAATATTCAGATAATATTTCCTTTTGATCTGCATTTTAAAACAATCGAAGTAATTTAAATCCATTTATGTTTTTTTTTCGAAAATGTTTTTCTCGTATTCCTCATTAGTAAATCAATGTCATGTATATATATGTAAAGTAAGAACCACATAATGATTTAATGAGCAGTTAATTAGTTTCTCTACAAATGCATACAAACGTTCAATGTGATGCGTCGCACAAAAAAACAAGCGTGAGAAGTTAGCGCCATTTGCCATCCATCATAGATACAATTACCGCAAGACCTCTTTCAACTGCTTATAGCCAAACGCCACCATACATCATTTAGCAACTAAATTTGAACTCATTACTGCGGAAAGACAGAAAACACTGAACTAAAATAAAAAATGAACTTGTCAGTAGTCTATTTGGCTTGGGAGATATATTAAATTTATTTAAAATTTTCAAAAAATTTGAAAAGGGCTCGTTGCGACTATCTTCACGCCTAGAGACCAAAATCCAAGGGGATCAAGTTGAGATTATAAGTGAAGTGAATGTACATGTACGTGTGGAGGTAGGGGTTTCAGGAATAATTCGTACATAGCATATCATGATCATCATCATCATCTTCAGCCCGATCCTTCGCATATCGAAGATTGTCGGCAAACGCCATGGACCAAACCCGTCCACTTCTTTCTATCAACTGCCGTCCTCATGACCTCTGTTAAACTTTTTCTTGTCCATTTTGTGTGTTGGTCTTCCATCCAAACCTCGACCTGCCACGTTTTCTCTTTATCGGGTCTCTTTGAAATATTGTATGAACTCTAATTTTTTCAATGGCAGCTGGTGGCCTTGAAAAATAAGCTTCCTTTCTTTGATCTTGTTCAATAATTCATGCTCAAGGTCGAGTTCCTCAAGAACACTGTCGCTTAAATTGTTCGTCTTTCCCGCCACGATATGCGTAACTTTTTTCCACATTTCAGTTGCTTCTTTTCGTTTCTCCTGCTTTTTTTTTATTACCCATCCATTTTATGATCCATATATGAGCACAAGCCATATCAAAATCTTCGCTAATTTCACATTTAACACCGTTTGGTGTACTTTTGACCTTCCAGATATTAACCAGTTTGTTTGCTTTGGCCTTCGCCATTCCGATTCTCATTTAACACCCTTTGTTGAGTTTCCATCAACCGTTTTATAATTAACCGAGTCAAAATACTTAACATGATCAACTTCTTCAACCTTCTCTTAATTTCCGTCTTATAATTAGCATATGCGTGAAGAAAAATACGTGAAGGAACATAGTATATACATGTAGAAGGAACAATGTTGAAATATGAACATACGAGCATATTGTATTTCGTTAACCAATTATTTACCTTAAAGTGATTTTTTCGTTTGAAAATCATTACGTACTCGAACGAGGGAATGTTTACACCAGTGTGCACCAAAACAGTGATTTCTAGGACAGTCAGTCAATTTGCTTCCTAAGGCATGCTATCTAGATCTTTTCCTTGTTTTTGTTGTTTTCTTATGTTGTATGGGCCATAAGTTACCGCCTGGGATGTGGCATTGCTTATTGTTCCACGGGATCGCCTTTTGAACAGATCCCAAACTGGTGGAATGTTGTCTGTCACTATTTTCCTGTGTAAGTATGTGCGTGTGTGCGTGCATGGGTGCATGCGTGTGTCAGTGTTGTTTGTGTGTCTGTGTGTTTGAGTGTGAGCACGCTCGCACACGCATGTGTGATTTGGTGAGTATGTAGTGTGTTTCTATGAGTTTGTGTATCATGCCTTCTGTGTGCATGTGCACCGTTCTCATACCTTTATCTACGCATGCACGTAATGGTAAAACTGGCCGATGTAACAGGAATGGAAGTCCTACGAATGGAAGTCCGGGCTCTCATATGATTAGTACAGGTTAGGGTTAGTTGAAGTATTGGGGTTAGTATATGGGGCGAATGCCACATGTACAAAGTAATGGGAAGCAGACTGCTGTTCCTAGCGGACTTCCATTCCTGTCACACCTGTATATACTTTTCAGGCAGGCTGTCTTAATTTGTAGATCTAAATATCATGAGTTTGGAATAAACATTTTTGCGTTAATGCACATTTTTTTGTGGTAAGTGTTCATAGATGAGTCGCATTTACCACAAAAATATTTTGTGGTAAATGCGACTCATCTATGAACAATTCATGTTTTTATCGTACGTAAATATGAAGAGGTAACAACATGTTTCAAAAGCCATACATCAGTTGTGATGGCTGCTCTCGGTTCCCCGAAGGAACCGGCGGATGTACGCCTGACAAATATCTCCGCAGCATACTTATAAGTGCAGGACTGAAATATTGTTTATCAGGATAGTCGAAATATATTGAGTGTCTGTTTAGCTATCTGTTTTTATTTTTTATTTATTTATTTGTTTTTATTTTTATTTATTGTGTTGAAGGCTTGTAGCGCCATCTACAGGAGATAATTGCAGTATGCGGTAGACGCACACGCTGTTAGGCACGATCTTTATATAACGAGCACACCCTAATGGTAATTGTGTGTGAATTTGGTGACATTTGATGGCGTCTTTTCAATTTTATAGACATTCCATTACATCTGTAGAAGTCACTGTGAAACAGTGAAACAGTCGATTTGAGGGGGTACTTCGTATAAATTGTACTAAATCATATAAAATGTGTATATTTCACCACTATTTTGTATTTTTTAACCATTAAACATGTTAGACACGGTATCCGTGAAAGCACTATTTCTAACAGTTCACAGCTGTGAGGTGATGATTTGTAAATAAAAGTACATGGAAATGGGGTTGGGACAACCTTTTTGACCAATGTTATATATATATATATATATATATATATATATATATATATATATATATATATATATGTGGTATGACGCACGCACTATAGTCATATATATATATATATATATATATATATATATATATATGTATATATATATATATATATATATATATATATATATGACTATAGTGCGTGCGTCATACCACATGAATGATTTTATGCAACTGATATTTTTTTTCTTTCAGTCACAGCATACGAATGTAAAATTAATCCATCAGCTTGTGGTGGTAAGTGTGAAAGTTGCATCACATGTATGACAGAAACTATACTAATTGTGACCTCGAAAATATTTCTCCAATGAACATGTACAAAGACCATAAAAAGATGTTTACTTTCATTTTCTCTCGAAATATTTTAACTTGATCAGTATCATAGGGTGAAAGATCAAAAATAAAGTTACTGGTTCATATATATACCTCGAGTGCTCACGGAGATTCCATCGACTGTATTACAACTTATGACTTAGCAATAAAATAAGTTCTTCATCATTTATGTTTTATTTTTAGCATTCGAAATGCTGCATCACCGACAAGACCTTTTGTCACGTGTCTTAAAAAATGTGTCCTTTTCAGAGATCTGTACCAAAAACTGTGGTGTAAACCGATTACTCAATTTTCAAACCTGTACGTGTTTCTGCAACCAGGGTTGGACTGGGACTTTGTGTGACCAACGTATGTGGTATTCTTTGTTATTCATTATATTAAATATAAACGTTTTGAGAATCAATTACGGCTACTACATGTTTTGGACATAAATGTTTTGGTTGTTCATTGAAATTATTAAGTTTGACTTTCAAGTATGTAAATCACTTTTGCAGTTTTTGACCCAGTAATTAAAGACACGCGTTTTCATTCAAGTTCTACTTCATACACTTGAATAGCCGTCATTTTAGTTGACAGCATTTATTCTCACATAACATTAAAATTTTGCCGTTTCAGAGACCTGTACCAAAAACTGTGGTGCGAATGGAAACCTCAACGCTCAAATGTGTACGTGTATCTGCAACCAGGGTTGGACTAGACCTTTGTGTGACCAACGTAAGTACAAATGAAATACTTTGAGACCGTAATATTGTCATGAAGTTGTAAAGTTTTTTTTTACATCCAGTTACGGTTCTGACGTATTCTTTGCATTGATTTTTTACCGTTGCTGAATTATTTTCTAAAATGTTGAATTTTAAATTTTTTAAACATTCTTTTACTATCTCCACGAATATTATGCTCTACGAACATTAACTATTATTACAAGCTAGTTAACCGCGACAATGCGCTAATGGAAATAACGGTTTAAGTCACAAATGTTTCTCACAGGGGTGTGTAACAAGCAGTGCGTGTATGGCACCTTGGATAGCCAGTCTTGTACCTGCAACTGCTTCCCGAGGTGGGGAGGAGCTCTTTGCGACCAATGTAAGATATTTTTGACATATTTATGAATGAATGAATTTATTTTATATATGTATTACATCGCTGTCAATAGAGGGTAACTGTTGCTCTCTGCAAGATGCACCTTATATCTTAAACCGCATTCAGATTCACATATTGTAGATGTATTACATGTAGCTGGGTCGAACCAACTCTGCGGGGGATCCTTTCAAAAGTGCAATCTGTGTAATAAGCTTAATTACTAGCATCTGACACACATCCTCGAGGGGGTACTTAACGTGTGCTGATTCAACTGATTCCACTGATTGCACTTTAGAATCCCCTGCAGAGTGAGACCACCCAGCTACTGCAATGTGTGCAGTCTGAATGTACCTTTAAGTTACTTTGCTTGATACAAGGAATGTGACCTGGTCATATATTTACTTTTAATAAC